AGCAAGATTCTCCGCTGCCACTATTATTGACCAGTGGTTTGATATAGCTGTCATATAGCTGACTGGAAAGTGTGTCATGGAATCATGTTTTACTGCACAGTCAGCGCTCTTCTAGCTATATATTGTGAATGGCCTGTAGATGCCTGGGCTGTGAGGACCAGAGGTTGATAGCTTGAGCAATGATCCATACATTGGGGACATAATGGCACATTCAGGACACATTGTGACAAACCGGTCCTTTATCAGTGACAAACATGCCCTGGTCTGGGATGTTTGTTAGACACATATTGTATTGGTCACTGCTTCAAAACAAGCTCTTTTTCTCTGAAGGAAAAGCTGAACAGTTCAGTATTATAAGACATTTCACTTGACATTTTTTTCAGGACATCCAGTATTCTCAGTGGAAAAGTTATTTATTTTGGTAAAGCTTCATGACAAATGAACATACATTTTTATTGAACAAATTACAGACTCTCATTTCCATTGCATCAACATATCAGTATTATTGATCAATGCCATGAGGACAAGTTTAGTGCCAAAAAGAGAATCTCTTATTAAGCATGAAACTGCAGAAATATCCAAAGGGCCAATGCTTGAAGATTTGTCTGAGCCCATTAATACTACTGAAATGTACTCTTGGTGGTCCAGTGTATATCTGTCTTGTTTATAATATGATAAATGCCCTGGACCTTTTAGATAGAGCATCTGTGAGTACCTTGAGAGCAGCAGGTTTGATGGTTTGACCCCTGTTGCATCATACCAAACACTGTTTAAAGATGGTATTTGTTGTTTCCCTGTCTTGTGTTCGGCATTGGGACATGTTCAACTCTGGCATGGTATCTCTGAGCTAGCACTATAGAACCACCATTTACATCCAGATGAATACGAGCAGCCACACACACACATCTATTTGCATGTTGCGGGATAGGTGCAAGAATCATGAATGTGTCGCAACATTAAATCCTATTTCACCTCACCGTAGGTAACTTCCCACAGAATTTGTGTTGCACATGAGTGAAATTTAGTTGGAGAACTATAATAGGAATTGGACTCCAAATAAAGCTGTCAGAGTGGGTCTGATTATAACAAAGACATGATACAATGGATTATCAAGCTTGCTGTAAATAGGAAACTGTGAACTTTGGCCTCAGAGGAAAAAAACTCTGACCTGTGATCAACCTGAATGTTGGACACTTCCTTGTAACAGAAATCATTCCTGGGCTGTCAGTTGTATTTACCTGCAAGCAATGTGTCTTATCCCAAGCCAGGCATCTCTATCATCCTGAACACAATTGCCGAAAGGCAAAAATAATTAAATAAGGTATGGACAATTTTCTGATGTGTCTCGCCGTATTTCAGAACAAGTGCCCATCTGATATTTATTTACCAGTTTGACGATAATGAGGATTTTGATTTCATGACCTTGTGACTTGGCATGATGAGAAGAGAAAACCCGAGAGAGTGTATATGAATAGATGGAGGCCATTATCAATTAGGATTGTCCATTGTCATATGGTCCCTGCAGAGAAATTATGGCCTCAGGTTTGTAAGCAGCTGCATTGATGTACGCGAACTGCATGAAGATCCAATCAGTGGTGACAATATCCTCCTTTTGTGTTAACTAAGCCATGTCCATGTTGCCGGATCTCTGCTGGTTGTAGGGAGTTCAATGTCCAGATTCATCCTGATTGTGTTCCCGAGGGTGACTGACAGACAGACGCACGCACGCACGCACGCACGCACGCACGCACGCACGCACGCACGCACCCCACCCCACCCCACCGCACGCACGCACGCACCCCACCCCACCCCACCCCACCCCACCCCACCCCACACCACACCACACCACACCACACCACACCACACCACACCACACCACACCACACCACACCACACCACACCACACCACACCACACCACACCACACACACACACTGTCCCTTAGTTCATTGGCACCATACCTGTGTGTGTGTTTCGCTTAAATGAATATTTTGATATTTTGGTACCTTTGACACGCTGTGGTACAATTGAAATTCACTTCAATGTGGTATAAAATCCAACTCAATCAATTTGTATGGGAATGTTACTACGGTGCTCATACATTCTGCTGTATGTATCCCAATACCTCATAAGTTTGACTTTGCTGAAGCGTGATCTGTATATTATCCTGAGCAATTTCACAGGTTGTTATGCACTGTCCACATCAAATGGTGTCACTGGCTTCCTAAATCCCTTCACATAGTTGTTTGATAGGTGCCAGGATTCAACAGGCAAGGGTTTCACTCCTAGACTTCTGCGAGTATTATATCAGCCCATAACCCTCACACCTCGCTCTCTCAGAAGTGGAAAAGGTCCAAGATGTTCAGCATGTTTTTGTATCTTCCCACATGAAGCTGACATGCAGCATTACCTTGCTCACTGCACTGCACTACATCCCAGGATGCTTCTTTTCTCATCAGACTCAAGAACAGCAAATGACTGTTTTCCAAAATGTCCTGATGGTTCTTTTCAAAACTGGTAATGATACAGAAGAATGTCCAAACAAAAAATGTCTAAACTGTTCCAATGTTATTTGTGTGTGTCCTGCCTGGTTGCTGCTGCCTACGGCTGCCTAATGTGCCCCTGCTGCTTCACTGGGTCCCACCCTCTCTGAAGCTGCTTCTGTGAAACATTATGTCTGGACTATTTAATTCTACAGGGTTCTCTCAGCTAAAGTAAATGATTCTTTGTCTGTTGATTTGCTTCCTCTTCACTCCTCACACAAATCCACATCAAGCGAACTAGCTCTAATCCCTAAACTAACCATAAATCACACACATCTGACCCATGCCTGAGCTAATTCTGCATCAAAGGACCAAATCTTATAGTTCCAAACATTACAATTTAGCTCTAGGAAATTGGAGGTTGAATTCAGCACCTAGCACTTCAGCACTGCCACTGAGAATTAAACTTGCTGATACAGTGTGCCCAATTAACGCACCCTGCAGCTAGATGCTAGCTTAGCTTGAATCAGTGCATCATAAAAACACCAAGTTATATGGCCTTGGCTTGGTGTGGTTCAGCAAGGATGTTGAAACTTTGAGGCCTAGTTTTCATGGTTTTCACGCAGCTCTAAGATTAGGATTTCTGTTTAATGGTCAGTAAGGTGAGGTGAGGTGAGGTGAATTTGGGTTTAACGTCGTGTCCAAGATTATTGCACTTATATAGCGACGTGCATGTACGTGTGTGTGTGGCTGCTTGTACAAGTCCGGACTGATGCCGATTTATAGTGCTAGCTCACTGAGATACCAAGCCGCAGTTAACATGATTACCCCACTCAGACACAATATACTGACTCTGAGCCGACCAGTCCTTGTTTTAGCCCCTTAATGTCGAGCGCCAGACAGGGTAACAACATGGTCAGTAAGGGATAAAACAAGGTATGTAATATATATGCTAAACTTTTGATAAGGTTAATCACATAATCTTTCTATTTAAATATACAATTGATATATTATGAGGATAATGTTTTTGTAGCATGTAAAGGTAAAAAATATTCCTGGGATAAGTAGAATATTACATTACTCATTTATTGGCAATTGTTCATCCCCTTTTTTATGGTGGAGTCAGTTTTCTACATCAGAAGGGCATATTGATAAGCAAACCATCCTCATGATAAATGTGTATTCCTGGGAAATCTATACAAGACTGGATTTTGGAAGGGGTCAAATAACATGATTTGGAGAAGAGCTTTTCTTGTAAGATGTAGGTTATCTACAGCCATGAGCAACACTGTCAATGACCTAAAACATGTCTTTGTCAGTGCATGATAATCATATGGAGTACATACTGTACTCACAGAAGATGAGTTTATTATAGCTGTACTTAGCAGTAATTCTTGTTATGTGAACTGACACTTTTTCTGCCATTAGTTTAATGTAATTGTAGATCTGGGCGACTGGTTATTGTCATCTGATGCTCCATCTGATGCTCTCTCGTTACTTTGATACAAAATTATCAAACACATGGATATAATTTATTGTGGCCTTATGTAGTACTACATGCCAACATGTTGCTAAGCTCTAGACAGCAATGTCTCAAGTGACACGTCCTATAGTATCAGTTATTAATCACTAAATTGGACCGGTCAAGCCAAATAGGAAATTGTTTGGAAGTACGTTAGATTTATTATATATCTTAGGAGTTATCTCCCTTGATCAGTTATAGAGGAGGAGGTGTGACTGTAAATCTTTGTTGAGTGATGATGCTTTCAGAAGCTGGATATCGTGTGTCTGAAATTTGATCCGATTGAATGGCTTACTGGTACATCCAGATGAAACCAAACAGTTAGACTCCATTATGGCTCTGGGGCTTAGATGGGCTACTTAGCTGCAGAATTTGATATTTATTCTATCCCTCACATTCACTCAGCTGAATGATGGTTCTGATATGATGTGTTTTATTCAAACTATTGGCCATGCAATGAGCATGTTGAGGTACCAATTTTAGAAGACTGCATATCTGTTTTGATTAGAGAATGTTTTTTGATTTCTGGTATGAAAAAGCATTGATTATTGTGATCTTTAAAATGTTGTTGCCTGTCAACAATTATACACATGTCCTGTAGAGCATGATTTTATAGTTATTGTTATCTCGTAATTATATAACAGGTACAGATAAAATGAATTGTTCAAGCAGGTTTTATCTCACAGTGCATGTATGTGGACACTATTCAAAGACCTGTGACCTGGGTTAGAATAGATCTCCAGCAACCCATGCTTGCCAAAAAAGGGGACTAATGGGATCGGGTGGTCAGGCTCGCTGACATGGTTGATGCATGTCATCGTATCCCAATTGTATGGATCGATGCTCGTGATGGCAATCACTGGAATGTCTGGTCCAGACTCGATTATTTATAGACCGCTGTCATATAGCTGGAATATTGCTGAGTGCGGCGATAAAAAACAAATAAACAAACAAACACTATTCAAAAACATGATTTTTATTGTTTTATGTTTTCAGAAAGCACATCATGTTGGTCATGCCAAGAACACACTTCATTTAAAGAGAGGTACGTATATTGTTACCATGGTGACTGGTGAAGGGAAAAAAGATCTCTTTGAAAAACAAGATGATTCTGGGTGAGTGAGTGAGTTTTGGCTTACGCCGCTTTTAGCAATATTCCAGCAATATCACGGCGGGGGACACGAGAAATGGGCTTCACACATTGTACCCATATCGGGAATCGAACCCGGGTCTTCGGCGTGATGAGCAAATGCTTTAACCACTTGGCTACCTGACCGCCCGTTGATGATTCTGGGTCAGATTCAGTATCTGGGACCCCATGCTTGTCAACTGATTATTCAGGGTCCACATTGGTTTGAATACACTCTCCAACCCTCATCTTGACAGGGAGGCACAGGTGGCCCATTCCTCTAAGGTGCCGCAATTTGCTGTGCAGTGTTGCTTCCCTTGGGCACATCAGAAACCTGTGATCGTGGGTTCGGATCCTGGTTCACCCCAAATATGTTTCTAGGTTTGTCAGCACCATGCCCTTGCTTGTGGGTTTCACCAAAGTGATAAACATTGGAGACCTGCTTCACTTTAGGCTTTCGTCTCACATTAAGCTTACACACCGTGATATAACTGGAATACTGTTCAAAGTGGCGTTAAACTAAATTCACCCCAAACCCTCATCGACAAACATCCCCACCCTCATCTACAAACACCCCCACCCTCATCTACAGACAACCCCACCCTCGTCTACAGACAATCCCACCCTCATCTACAAACACCCCCACCCTCATCTACAAACACCCCCACCCTCATCTACAGACACCCCACCCTCATCTACAAACACCCCCACCCTCATCTACAAACACCCCCACCCTCATCTACAAACATCCCCACCCTCATCTACAAACACCCCCACCCTCATCTACTAACACCCCCACCCTCATCTACAAACACCCCCACCCTCATCTACAAAACACCCCCACCCTCATCTACAAAACACCCCCTCCCTCATCTACAAAACACCCCTGGCCTCATCTACAGGCAACCCCACCCTCATCTACAGACAACCCCACCCTCATCTACAGACAACCCCACCCTCATCTACAAACACCCCCACCCTCATCTACAAACACCCCCACCCTCATCTACAGACAACCCCACCCTCATCTACAGACAACCCCACCCTCATCTACAGGCAACCCCACCTTCATCTACAGACACCCAAACCCTCATCTACTAACACTCCCACCCTCATCTACAGACACCCCACCCTCATCTACAGACAACCCCGCCCTCATCTACAAACAGCCCTAACCTCATCTACAGGCAATCCCACCCTCATCTACAGACAACCCAACCCTCATCTACAAACACCCCCACCCTCATCTACTAACACCCTAACCCTCATCTACAGACACCCCTCCCTCATCTACAAACATCCCCACCCTCATCTACAGGGTACCCCACCCTCATCTACAGACATCCCCACCCTAATCTACAAACAAGTCCACCCTCATCTACAGACAACCCAACCCTCATCGACAAACATCCCCACCCTCATCTACAAACACCCCCACCCTCATCTACAAACACCCCCACCCTTACTTACAAACACCCTCACCCTCATCTACAAACACCCCCACCCTCATCTACAAACATCCCCACCCTTATCTACTAACACCCCCACCCTCATCTACAAACATCCCCACCCTCATCTACAGACAACCCCACCCTCATCTACAGGCAACCCCACCCTCATCTACAGACACCCCACCCTCATCTACAAACAACCCCACCCTCATCTACAAACACCCCTAACCTCATCTACAGGCAACCCCACCCTCATCTGCAGACAACCCCACCCTCATCTACAAACACCCCCACCCTCATCTACAAACACCCCCACCCTTATCTACAGACAACCCCACCCTCATCTACAGACAACCCCACCCTCATCTACAGGCAACCCAACCCTCATCAACAGACACCCCACCCTCATCTACAAACAGCCCTAACCTCATCTACAGGCAACCCCACCCTCATCTACAGACAACCCCACCCTCATCTGACCGCCTCCGTGGTCTTGTGGTAGAGCGTCCGCCCGGAGAGCGGAAGGTCCGGGGTTCGATCCCGGGCCGCGTCATACAAAAAGACTTTAAAAGATTGTACTTGTTGTTACCCTGTCTGGCGCTCAGCATTAAAGGGCTAAAACAAGGACTGGTCGGCTCGGAGTCAGTATACTGTGTCTGAGTGGGGTATTCATGTTAAACTGCGGCATTGTATCTCAGTGAGCTAGCACTATAAATCGGCATCAGTCCGGACTAGAACAAGCAGCCACACACACACATACACGTGCATGCACGTCGCTATATAAGTGCAATAATCTTGGACGCGACGTTAAACCCAATTTCACCTCACCTCACCCACCCTCATCTACAAACACCCCCACCCTCATCTACAGACAACCCCACCCTCATCTACAGGAAACTCCGCCCTCATCAACAGACACCCCACCCTCATCTACAGACAACCCCACCCTCATCTACAGACAACCCCACTCTCATCTACAGACACCCCACCCTCATCTACAGACACCCCCACCCTCATCTACAAACACCCCACCCTCATCTACAAACACCCCCACCCTCATCTACTAACACACCCACCCTCATCTACAGACAACCCCACCCTCATCTACAGACACCCCACCCTCATCTACAGACACCCCACCCTCATCTACAGACACCCCACCCTCATCTACAGACACCACCACCCTCACACCCACCCTCATCTACTAAAACACCCACCCTCATCTACAGACAATCCCACCCTCATCTACAGACAACCCGACCCTCATCTACAGACAACCCCACCCTCATCTACAAACACCCCCACCCTCATCTACAGACAACCCCACCCTCATCTACAGACACCCAAACCCTCATCTACTAACACTCCCACCCTCATCTACAGACACCCCACCCTCATCTACAGACAACCCCACCCTCATCTACAGACAACCCCACCCTCATCTACAAACACCCCCACCCTCATCTGCAGACACCCCCACCCTCATCTACAGACAACCCCACCCTCATCTACAGACAACCCCACCCTCATCTACAGACACCCCCACCCTCATCTACAAACATCCCCACCCTCATCTACAAACACCCCCACCCTCATCTACTAACACACCCATCCTCATCTACAGACAACCCCACCCTCATCTACAGACACCCCACCCTCATCTACAGACACCCGCACCCTCATCTACAAACACCCCCACCCTAATCTACAAACACCCCCACCCTCATCTACTAACACACCCACCCTCATCTACAGACAACCCCACACTCATCTACAGACACCCCACCCTCATCTACAGACACCCCACCCTCATCTACAAACACCCCCACCCTCATCTACAAACACCCCCACCCTCATCTACAGACAACCCCACCCTCATATACAGACACCCCACCCTCATCTACAGACTCCCCACCCTCATCTACAGACACCCCACCCTCATCTACAAACGCCCCCAACCATTCTAGCACTCCCAACTTTCATCTCCAACCCATTGCGCTATAATGGATAAGGTCATACTGACCATTTTCTAGACGACCCATTCTGTTGCTGCTTGTAGTCTAATATTTAGGATATACGAACTTCTCTTATTTTTTTCTCATCAACTTCCAAATTGCTTTGTACGACCCTGCATTGAACCCATGCATAACTGATTATCCAATAAGAGTATTTTCTTTTCCAAACCAATATTTTCTCATTTTAGGAGTGAATTGCCAATATATTTGAATGTTTTTGTATATGTTTCTTCAAATACTCATCAGAAGCTAATCCTTAGACGATCATGATGACCCAGACTGAATACACTGTTCATGTATGGGAATTTTGTTGCTTGATGGGGTTAGAGAAAAGGGTCAGAGAAAAGGTCACAGGTGCAGACTGATGCTGTTCCAATACAAAACATTTCTAACCAAGTTGATTTTTTTAAATTAAGTGTAATAATAACATGTTATTTAATACCACACTGCAGGAAGAATATTAACCATGAGATGCGCAGACCACAAGTCGCTTATTTCTTATATGAGATATGCACATTCTGTATAGCCTCTTTGAGGATGATGATGAAATGTACAAGCTTTAAAAATAATTACCCATATTTTAATAATGATGACTCCCTAAATTGAAGCCGACCTAGGCAATGTTGGAGAGGTCCATTTTATGCATAAGTGGTTATCTCCAGCCTATTCTCACAATCCTCACGTCGATTACCTGTACCTTTTCTCCCTATAACAATTGTCATATCTCTCGGAGACTCCTGCTTTTGGATGCAATAGTTCGGCTATTATGTTTATCTCCATCTTTGGGGAACAACTTGCTAGACACTCCCCTCTAAAAAATGACATTGTCCTATATACAACGCCATCATGTTGCAAGCGCATGTTTGAATCTCCAGAAATGACGTCATGATAGAACAATGTTTTATTGTTTAATAAACCAGACTTCATCAACATTAATTATAAGCGTAATAATTTTGACAATAAGTTCTGTTTGAAATATTACCTGAATCATGTATATATGTTCTCGTATTAAAGACTGTATGACGAACAAGGGAGGGAACTATTGTTTAGCTATGCATGGAATCAACTATGACAAATTTGACACAATATATTAATGTCAAATTGAGCATCACCTCTTTGTGTGATTATGTGTTTTTAGTGTGTGAGAACATAATACGCACCTAACTGAATGTCAAGTCCACCAATGATGACATCCAAATTTGGGCAAGAGGTTCGAATTTGAATTTCAATATGGCCGCCTTGTCAGCCATGTTAAAACACTATTTTATAATATGGCTATTTGTGTTCAAAATGCCATGAAATCTGGTGTATGTGTAGTTAGTAGCGTGGCTCGACACATATTTTGGTTATTTTGGGGTGCTATTTTAAATTGTGACCTTGATTTACCTTTGTGTCTTTACCATGCTTGTAAAATCTGTCAAAATGCTTATTTGGTTCTATAAACATCTCTTGAAATTGCCAGACTGAAGTGTCTGTTGTTGGTGACATTTTATGCTGTTGACTACTAATCCAGGTGGGAGCTAGTCATGTGGCATATTTTTTTATGAAAATACGGTGAATGGATCCATAAATGAACAAACAGAAAAATAATTTTAAATGAATTTCATGGCCCAAATGCATTTAAGAAGTTTTGACCAATCAGAATTGAATATTTTCCAAATATGTTGTAGCATGTATTTTTCATGGTCCTCCTGTTATTGGATAGATTCACTGCTGTTTTCTTTGTGAGTTGTGACAGTTTGACCATGTTGTGTGTGTGTGTGTCCCCAGTGTCAGGCTGCAACTGTCCAGAGGGCCAGGTGTGTGTGGAGGGCTCCGCTACCGGGAAGCCACTCTGTGTCAACAGACACTTCCTGAAACAAGGGTGAGTTCTCTACTGTTACAGCAAACATCACCTCAACTGGGAAGGGGATTACACAGATCACACTAGCAGCTTCATGCGGGGGGATTTCAGGTTCTTTGGACATATTTAGATTTCCAGCATTGGTTTTTTTAAAGAATGTTGTTTCTTTTATAAGGATTAGACCACATCAAATATATCATTTGTTTGTCAGTATCACTGATTCTGTTTAATCTGAGTGTCTGTTTGCTAGGCCACACTATTTTTTTTATTTCTTTACAGATTTTCTTTTACAGGAAAATACCTGTCGGTAGGTGAAAAAATAGAAGGAAAAATGCAATTCAGCTTTTCTCATCCACTACAAGTAGGCTGGTATAAGAGTATTTTTTTTTTCATTTCTACATAAAAATATTGAGATTAGGTTCTTGTTTTGAATCTTTTTCTCTGTGAAATATGCTATCAACTTACAGATGAGATAAACAATGGGGCAAATTTTAGATTTGGCAGATTCATGGATCCGTAAAGCAAATAAAAAAAGAAAAGATTTGCCTACACCACATATCACAAATTGTTGATTCATTATTGATGTAGCCATACATAGCATTAAAACATTTGGCAACCCTGTCTGCAATTTGCTGTGTCTCATCCCAGCTGTGCCAAGGTCTGTGGTCCTTGGTTTGAATTCCAGATTTGATAGGATTATGATCCTTGTCAGTCAGCCTTACATCTTTCCTGATGGGTTTCATGTGGGTGGTAAATATCTGAGACATTTCTACATGAAAATCTTGTTTGAATTTAAAAAGTATTAAAAGTATAAAAATTATTGAGATAAGGTTCTTGTTTTGAATCTTTTTTTCTGTGCAAATATGCTATCAACTTACAGATGAGATAAACAATGGAGCAAATTTTAGATTTGGCAGATTCATGGATCCGTAAAGCAAATAAAAAAAAAAGAAATGATTGGCCTACACCACATATCACAAATTGTTGAATCATTATTGATGTAGCAATGATGAGGGATCACTTGGTAGAAGGCATCTTTCTGCTGGGTTATATGTGAGTGAGTGAGTGAGTATGGTTTTATGCCGCTTTTAGCAATATTCCAGCAATATCATGGCGGGGACACCAGAAATGGGCTTCACACATTGTACCCATGTCAGGAATCGAACCCGGGTCTTCGGCGTGAAGAGCGAACGCTTTAACCACCAGGCTACCCGACCGCCCCGTTTAAATCAGACCCAAAATTAACTGTAGGTTTTAGCATATATTCATACTGTTTATGAACCTTGCCATTTTGGTTGCTATATCTCTCTTGGTTGCCCCGATGTGGGAAACCTAGACCTGTGAAACACTTGGCTTTCCCCCCACATTACGCTGGCCAACACATGCAACTTGTTGTGAACAGTGTGGAATCTGCTCACTCATGTGGAGATGTTTCCTTCCTGTAGAGAGAAGCTGTTCAGGGACTTCCAGAGGCATCACCCAGACATCAAGTCTGATGGACAGCAGGAGCGACACCATCAGGTGCAGCCTCACATCGAGCGTCCTCATGACGTCCACATCAGTGTCCATGCCAAACAACATGAAGCTGAACACCCTAGCAACAAGCAGCACTCCCTCAGCAGGCATCAAGACATGCAGCATCCTAGTATCAAGCAGCATGAGGTTAAGCACGTCAGCAACAAACATCACAATGAGGTGAATGATAAGGTATGGATATCTGTGTGTTTTATGTTCTGTCTTTAGCATGGCAATATAACGATGTCCTTGCCTTGTTGAATATTATTTGGATGTTTTATGTTGCATGTATATTTTATGATGTATTTATATTATATGTTGTATATTTAATGGATGATAACATGCTCACGTTGTTCTGGTCAGAATTTCAATATGGCCACATCAGTTGTCATAATGATAACAAGGTTCATATTAGCCTGAAAGGCTTTGAATATGACAAAAAGTCCCAAATTTGAAATTGCCTTTTAAAGACCCCAAATGAATCTGCCTTGAAAAAGCTTTGGAGTTGAATCTGCCTTGAAAAGGCCTTGAATTTGAATCTGCCTTGAAAAGGCTCCAGTTTGAATCTGCCTTGAAAAGTCCCTAATTTGAATCTGCCTTGAATTTGAATCTGATTTGAAAAGGCGTTGGATTTGTATCTGATTTGAAAAGTCCCTAATTTGAATCTGCCTTGAAAAGGCCTTGAGTTTGAATCTGATTCTGATTTGGAAAGCGCTAATTTGAATCTGCCTTGAAAACACCCTAATTTGAATCTGCCTTGAAAAGGTCTTAGTGTGTGATGAACTGACTTGTAAAGGCCATGAATTTGAATCTGCCTTGAAAAGGCCTTAGTATGTGATGAAATGCCTAGAAAAGGCCTTGAATTTGAATCTCCCTTAGAAAGCCCTCACTTTTCATGAAATGTCTTGAAAAGGCCTTGCGTTTGGCAACCATAAAAATAACTGTGCTGTGTTAGTGATAAAGTAATTAAATTAAGTTACTTTTTTCTCTAATATTGTTTCATGATATCTTAATAATGAAAGGATATGGAAACACTGGTGTGTCAAATATTTTAATAGTGTAAAAGTGGATCACGACTGACTGTAAACATAGGGGGATGTCTGGAGCTTTGGAGCTGACCACTGGGCGTCTGGGTCAGGCATTGGTTTACAGTCCACCGCCATCTAACGTAATGGCAACAACACCAGACACTGTTATTCAATCACACAGTATGTATAGACATTTTGATTGATTGTTGCAGAGTCATCGTATTCTGGAAGCTCATCAGAGGACTGGGAGTATGAACCACCATGCTCACCACAAGAAAGTCCAAGGTACTGTCTCCTTTAAAGACGTCACCTTTTCGTAGAGACCTGTGAAGATCTGGGTTGGGTTAGAATTTGTCTTCAGCAATCCATGCTTGTGTCATAAGAGACAACTATCTGACCGGGTGGTCAGGCTCGCTGACTTAGTTCATGTGTGTCATCATCTTGATCATAACCCATTTGCGTTGACGATGCTCATGATGTCAAAATCACTGGATTGTATGGTCCAGACTTGATTATTTTGAGCCTGCAGTTATATAGCTGGAATAGTGCCGAGTGCTGTGTTTAGCAATAAACAAACCAACAATACCTTTTTGAGACAACAAACAAACAGTATAGCTGCTATTAAAAGGGGAGAACAAATTCAGACAAGCTCATTATGGTCAATTTGTCAAACATCACTTTGTGAACTCAACTGTCTGTTATTATATATGTGTGAATCTAATGGCTAGTAATTATGCTAATTATGCAGAAAAAAAATGTCTCTTCACACAATGCACCAATTATGTCATCTGTGTTAGCCTGGCAGCTGAAACTTTGGTGCATAATATGTAGCCATACACAGCATTAAAACATTTGGCGACCCTGTCTGCAATTTGCTGTGTCTCATCCCAGCTGTGCCAAGGTCTGTGGTCTTGGGTTTGAATTCCAGATTTGATAGGATTATGATCCTTGTCAATCAGCCTCACACCTTACCTGATGGGTTTCATGTATCTGAGACATGGATCACTTTAGGCTTTCCCTGTTGGGATTCTCTTTTGGAATAGGTCCTCAGCAAGCTGTGCTGGTCGTAAAAGGCAAGTGAATTGATCGGGTGGTCAGGCTTGGTGACTTGGTTGATTGCTGTCGTCATACACTAATGGCGTGGATCATTGCTCACAATATCTATCACTGGATTGACTGGTCCAGACTCGATTATTTACAGACTGCCGTCATACACAATCAAATCAAATCAAATCGTCCAACCTTCAGGGTTACTAAGTTACAAATAAAAACAACTTTCAGAAACTGTGGACATAACACACCTTAGTGGTGTAAAGCAAAATAATAATGCATTTGTCAGAAGAAGTCACTAATAATTCAAACTTACTATTGATTACTGAATGGATTTGAAACAATGAAAACTTGAATTGTTTTGGTGTTGTTTAACTTCTTTGAGCAGTATATAACACTTCCTCGCTCGAAGTGGCAAAGATCTATTACCTGAGTTACTTTAGGCATCCTTCCCACTGAAAACTAACACACTATGATATAAATGAAAGTGTGTTCAAAGCGACAGTAAACTCACTAATTTATCTGACCCGTGAAGATTCCAGGGTAAAATAGGTCTTCAGCAACCCATGCTTGCAGTAAAAGGTGACTATGCTTGTCATAAAAGGCGACTAACGGGATCCGATGGTTAGGCTCGCTGACTTGGTTGATGCATGTCATCTATCCCAATTGCGTGGATTGATGCTCATGATATCAATCACTGGATTGTCTGGTCCAGACTTGATTATTTACTGACCGCCGGCATATAGCTGGAATATTGCTGAGTGCGGCATTAAACAACAAACCAACCAACCAACCACTAATTTATCTGTCCCCTGCTGCTGCTCTTGTGATAATGTTGAATATTGCAGACTGCAGCACAAAGCAAGAGACAAATCCTTGACATAAACAACTATTCAGTATGAAGCAGTCTTGTACTCTCAATTGACAGTCTGTGAAGATTTGATGTGTCTCTGCTGCAGACTCCTGCCTAAATGTTTATAAATCTCATTAACAGTGTCTGAGGAACAGAATTGCTTTTGTGTTTATTGAATTGATTTCGGTTAACCTTCCTCAGATTCAAATGGCCTGATAATGTTGATCTGATAGGATTGGGTAGTCTTGAGCTAACCCCGATAGGGATTCTGGGTTAATATAGGTCCCTGGCAACCTATGCTGGTTTAAGAGGTGACTAAATGGATTGGGTGTTCAGGCTGTGACTGGGTTGGTTTTGTGTCATCTTACCCCAATGGTGTGGATTGTTGCTCACAATGTCATTCACTGGATTGTCTGGTCCAGGATTGGTTATTTACAGGCTGCAGTAATGAAGCTAGAATATTGAGTGTGGCATTAAACTAACAAGACAAGCAAATTAGCAAACTCAGGGCCCTGAAATGAAGGAAATCCTAGCCTTGTCTGACCGTTGTTGCACTATAATGAAGGAAATCCTAGCCTTGTCTGACCGTTGTTGCACTGCAATGAAGTAAATCCTAGCCTTGTCTGACCGTTGTTGCACTGTTATGAAGTAAATCCTAGCCTTGTCTGACCATTGTTGCACTGCAATGAAGAAAATTCTATCCCTTGTCTGACCGTTGTTGCACTGTTATGAAGTAAATCCTAGCCTTGTCTGACCGTTGTTGCACTGCAATGAAGGAAATCCTAGCCTTGTCTGACCATTGTTGCATTGCAATGAAGGAAATCCTAGCCTTGTCTGACCGTTGTTGCACTTTAATGAAGGAAATCCTAGCCTTGTCTGACCATTGTTGCAGTGTGCACCAAGGATGACTTCAGTGAAATGCGTCAGCGCCTCACAGGATGGTTCCGCCTGCTTCATGCTGAGGAGAAGGAGCATCATCATAATCACCATGGCAACCATCACAAGAAACACCACCATCTCTCTGTCAAGAAGGAGCTCAGAGATCACCATGGTTGGTAGTTAGTGCTCATTGCTGAATGTTTACCATGGTTACCAGTATTTTAGTGTCTAATACGTCATAAAACTGTCAAAATTATGTGAAAAGTCCATAAGGACATACAAATCTTGTTTGTGATACTTGCCTTTAAAGGACATGTATGTACTGTATTCTGTTATCGACAGTTGCATATTTCTTTATTCATTTCACTGATGCAGGTTAGCAGATTTGTGGGACAATACCAACATGTAGTGGCCCCCTGAAATCAAACTTTCTGCTGCTGTTATCATAATTTATCTTTTTCATACTCATTGCAGTCCTTTACTCGAGTTCCCTGTCTGTAAGGTTGTGTATTTGCAATGATGTTGAGTATGTCATTCAGGAAACGAGAGAATTGTGGATGTGAACTCCTTTATTTTGAGGAACATTGCTGAGTATATGCTTACTCAGGTGAAGGAGTAAGCATGATACTCCGAAACATTGTCTTCATAATAAAGAAAGTTGACATCCATAATTCTCTGTCACAAAAATGTGTCTATGGGTATCCCTTCTGAATGCCTTTCTTAGCCTGGATGTTGTCATTCAGTGTTCTTGTTCTGCCCCCAGATGGGAAGTGCAAGGCTCAGCCCTCCGTGATGTGGGAGATGCACACGCTGGATGTGAACAACGACCACCACCTCACCAGCGCTGAACTTGCCGAGATAGAGAACAATGGCCGAGAGCCATGTCTGCGACCATTCCTCGAGTCCTGTGACACAGACAGAGACTCAAGGCTTTCTGGGCATGAGTGGAGATGTTGTTTTGCTGATGCCAGTGAGTTCACTTCTGATGCATGTATAGAGGGGAATCCTTTGTTGGTAGCAAGTGTTATTTATTCTAACACTATCTGATAGCTAGTGAGTTCACTTCTATCCATGTATAGAGGGGAATCCTTTGTTGGTAGCATGTGTTATTTATTCTAACACTATCTGATAGCTAGTGAGTTCACTTCTGATGCATGTTTAGAGGAGAATCCTTTTTTGGTAGCATGTGTTATTTATTCTAACACTCTCTGATAGCTAGTGAGGTCACTTCTGATGCATGTTTAGAGGAGAATCCTTTTTCGTTGCAAGTGTTATTTATTCTAACACTCTCTGAAAGCTTGTGAGTTCTGACCTCCTTAATTTGCAATACTAAACGGTAGTTAGATGCAGGTCTATGAATTCAAACCTGTTTGGGAGATGGCATTCATTTATATGAACAGACCAAGGGAGATAACTTGTAAAGATTTGTTTGGACTACTGTATCCAAGGGTTCGACATTGTAACATGAATGGGAGTGTGTGCTGCTATCTGATTGGTTGAAAAATGTTGTTAAATGGGATTCGAAGGCTGGAAATGTGGACTATTGCCTGAGCATAAATACATTTCTTCATGTTAATTCTGGTGTCCCCCCACCGTGATATTGCTGGAATAGGCCTATTGCTAAAAGAGGTGTGAAACCATAGTCACTCACACACTCTTCATATTAAGTATATTTTTCCCCAACCCAAATCTGAAGAGGGTATCTATCGGCTTGACAAGATGCACGTTAATTGAATATGAAATTTGATCATTATTTATCAGAAAAAGTTTGATTTAGACCATTTGGAACATTCTCCTAACCAACGCGTTCAGTTTTCACGGAAGCATGTGGTGTCATCTGTTGTATCATGACATCATCACTTTCCAGAGTTAAATCATAGCAATCAAGGATGTCATGTCTGTCTCACAGTTGTGACAGTTCACATAGAGAGAGATTGCTTCAGAAATTATTGATAATTTTAAATATTTGATCATGTGGATACAGATTGTTGTTTTCAGATTTGCAGGTTTTATTTTGTATTTGATGCCTGGAAATGTTAACATTTGAAACCTCAGGCACATGTCTTTGGTTCCAAATAAAATTTCTGGCCTTTGAATACTCAGTATCTGCTACCTGCATTTCAACCTATTTGTGTCCAGTGTTAGCTATGTCTGTTGTTGTTCACATACATGTGATTCTCTGGTTCCAGTTGCTCCTTGCTATGCTAAGCTTCGAGATGTGCAGAGGAACAACCAACTAGAGACAGGTAGGCAGGCTTGAGAGATCTCCACAAACTTCTCTTCTCATCAATTCTACTGTATACCCAACATGACTGCCTTCATTATTGAACCGCCTCTGTAGTCTAGTGGTAGAGCGTCCGCCAGGCCGGAAGGTCTGTGGTTCGACTCCCAGCTACATCATACCAAAAGATGTAAAACAAATGGAACTTGTTGTTACCCTGACTAGCACTTGGCATTAAGGGGCTACAACAAGGACTGGTGAGCTCGGAGTCAGTATACTGTGTCTGAGTGGGTTATCCATGTTACAACTGTGGCATGGTATCTCAGTGGGCTAGCACTGTAAAATGAGCATCAGTGAGGACAAAGAACAAGCAGACACACACACACACACACACACACACACACACACACACACACACACACACACACACACACACACACACACACACACACACACACACACACACAGAGAGACACACACTGACACACACTGACACACACACACACACACACACAGAGCTATAAAATTTGACGTGACCATTCAACCCTGTTTCACCTCTTAATTATCATGTGTGTAGTTAAGCAGAGAATCCTGTTCCGAAAAGTGATCTTAGTGCTGAGTGAGTGAGTGAGTTAATGCTTTACGTCACATCGGCAATATTTCAGCCATATCGTGACGAGCTTAGTGCTAAGATGATGGTAACTCCAATACGTCAATAAAGGCTTGTGGTAGTCATACCACTGTGGTCACTTTGTGAAAGGGGCTCAGGTATTAAATGTTCTTGACGTTTTTATTGAGATAAATTATCAGTGCAATCTTTAGTGTCATGAAACAGATGTATAACCTTTCATGGATAGTATGCTACTCAAAAATGTAAAGGATCACCTGCCATGGCAGATTAACTTCAGTGATCCTTTACATGTTTTAAGTAGTATATATATAGATATATATATGTGTGTGTGTGTGTGTGTGTGTGTGTTAAGATAGTTATTTTGGTTGTTGCAGCTGCATATATCCCCCGCTGTGACCGCGAGGGATACTTTGAGAAGGAACAGTGTCATGGCCGCACCATGGAGACGAGGACTTGCTGGTGTGTCGACCTCAATGGAAATGAGGTCCCGAAAACAAGAGCTCGAGTCAGGGCACATTGCGGTATGTCTAGTTGTCTCATCTGTGTGACTGAGCATGTTGTGATATGATTAGTCAGGATGAGGACTTTATTCCAAGCTACAATATATCGTCATTGGTGATGTTTTCCAAGTTGCTGTTATAATATGGTTAAGAGTGGTGTTACATCCACCTTCCTTCTTTCCTCATTCCTTCTCTCCAAACTTTCTTCCGTCTTTTTTTCTCATTCTTCTCATTCTTCTCTCTATCCTCCCCTTTAATAACCAATATTGATGGAAGTAGTTTGTCCTTGAGGATAATGCACATCCACACTCTACAATGTTTGGGAAAATTGGCTATCTTGTAAGCTGTCAAAAACTACATCGGATACCTTTAGGTGAATGAACAGGACTTTTGATAACAAACTAGGTCAATGAAAATGTGAAATTTGTGATAAAACATAACCAGACATGATTTACAATTGCATTTGTATTTTCTCTATTCATTTTTTCTTATATGGAAAGATTAAGATTATATGTGTAATTATATGTGTAATTGTCTCGTAAAATAAGCCAGAAATAGCAATCAGCTATATAGTCCCTCAGATATAACAGAAAATGAGTCAAAAAAATCCAAATATGATAAGAAAAGAGACAAACATAGACATGAGTGACTTGCTAAATATACTGTTAAGTTGTTATTCTCCGTTCGTAGATTGATGCCCTGTTTTGTATTTCAGAAAAGGTTGATGTCCTGGGTCACATGAAGAAGCACTAAACAGCTGGGAGATGTACAGTCACAAAATCAGGAGTTAACATACTATAACATTGATGAACATAACTATAGTTCAGAAGAATCTACCATGTGTTTTAGACACTGTACTAAACAGGTACTAAAATGAAAGTTAAAAGTCACATGACACTTGAAGATGTCGAGATCTACATCAGCCCAAATCAAACGAATTGTGATACGCAATGCTTAACTGCTTGACACATTCATATTGAAAATAGTCTGTATTTTGAAATAGTTGTCAAAATGTAAATCTTAAAATATCAGTGATGTTTGATATCTTTGTCATCACCTTAGATGAAACTTAGTGAGAATGGTAAACATTAGTGTGAATGCTTCAATCTAGACTAGACGTTCAATGATTTTTTTATTATACTACTTAGAAAAAGATAAGGACAACACAATTCTTTCATAATACTGTAGTTAATATGTCATGCCACGACAGATTAACTATTGTGATCATCTTAGCAAGGCAAGGGGTTAACTGACTGTAAAAGTCCAGTTTCCACACTTGAACTAGCTGGAATTATGGAGTTATATTTTGGCTGGACTAACATGTCTATGCATAGTCCATCCGGGTCATAAACAACATGGATTTCAAAGTGAAAATTTCAGTTGACTGCAGGAATTGCAAAGCCTGTGTACTGTCGACTGGGCATGGAAGGTATTTTCCAAATCTTTTCACGAATGGTAATATGAAAGAATCGGGTGGTTTGAACTTTGAGTAGTATATTTTAGAACAAAATGTGAATGGTTAATCAGTTAGGAATATTGTTTGTCACATTTATGTAGTGTTTCTTGTTTTTGACCCAATCATTTGATACAAAAGGGGAACTTGAAGAAATATTGGAATGTCCTGTTCTGAATGTTTATTGGAGTAGAAATAATGACATTGGCTGGACTATGAACTCCATGTCAAAGAGACCTTCCCTGTTGTGTGTATCCCTCATTGACAGCATTTGGTGGTATGTCTATGCAATGGTTTTTCTATGTACTTGCTGCTGATTTTGTCATGTGGCAACCTTTGATGTTTTTCACATTTTCTTTTTCAAAAATGATCTTGTGAAACAACGTTTCTCTCTATACAGGTAAAACAAATTTTGGTTTTATGGTAAAAAAAATTTCAGATCTTGTAGACTGTGAAATGTATCCTTTGAGCATGTTTTCAACTGTACAAATATACACATTAGAATCAGTTGTAACACTAACAGAAGCATTTTGTTATCCTTTAAAATATGTACAGTAGTTGCAACATGGTGCTTTCTTGTGAGGCTGATATATTTACAATATCTGTTGAAGGGTACCACAGACCTGAGCAATCATACAATATCGAGAACAGAAGATTACCTATATCTTTATATCTATAAAATATGTAAGCACAACTTTTCGTGGCAGCATGTATTAATCAAAGCAACTGCAGCCTGTTTTGTTTATGAAATGATTTATTTGGTTGAACAAAGTTGAAGGTTATAAAGATTCGACTGAAATCACAAGGTCACTTTCTTTTGATGGTTATGAAGACTCAACTGAGTCGGTGTCCATGCTGTTCAAGAAAACTTCCTTATACTTTCATAAACTTTCCGGTAGCGTCTTCTTTGTCTGCTTTGTGAAATTGATGTATGACTGCAAATAACACTTGTATAACCGATGAACTGTGTTAAAGGGCTGGTGTACTCATACTTAGATATATATTTACTTTTCTAGATATCATATTCTTGTTTCATTAAGGTGTAGACATGTTCTGGTTCCAACATGCCAACTAACCCCATAAGTACATAACCATCCATTTCTATTGACCTCTTTTTGAATCATTGATTTTGGGAAAACTTTTTGATATTTAATTTCTTTAAAAAATATATCCGGAACAGTTTGGTAATTATCTGATCTTTATATATTTTTGAATCCATGTATTGGAACCTCAACATTTTTAGGCCGTGAGATCATCATATTTCCTCGCATAACATGGAGAAAGAGCTGAGTGTACCACTAGGCCAATCTCTCGAGTTTATTTCTCATCTTTTTTCTGTTCTTATGGAAGTATGTAAAATGTGTTTCTGTATAGATGTACTGTTGGTTGTGATAAACATTAGAGTTCCAGGGTATATGTACTTAGCTTCTTTTCAAGTTTAAAATGTGATAAAATTAGGTATTTTACCATTTTAAGCCTGTTTGTCAATTTATGGATGAAATCCATTGTTTTTAACAGCACTGCACAATTTATTTGTCTGTGTATTTTAACCTGTTGTCATGGGTACCCTGCAGGATATTCCGTTTTTTTTCACTGAAACCAGTATTTTAATATTTTATTATATATTTTTAGAAATAATCTGGTAATGGTGACTTGTTTCACAATTATACCAATTAAAACAATTACTGTCTAGAAGATGCAGTCAGTTATGTGATGTGCTCGTCTTATCAACTGTTACAAATCATGCACAGTTTGTAGTTTGTTATTGATGAAGTATTGACTTTTTAAAGTCAGCAAGTTTGTGTCTGCAACCTTTCCTTGCACTTGAACTACATCCATTGTACATGGCAGTGCTTTGAGGCTGAACATGCTGTATATACAACTGTCATTGTTATGAAATATGAAATAGTTTTAGAATCTTCCTATTTCAGAGGATATTTGCTAAATTTGTTTTTGACCCATGACTGGGATGCTATTTATGTTTTGAAAAAAACTCAAGTGCTATGTGAAATATTAATATATGAAATTGTTACATAAATATTTTGTGCATTTCTTCAATTCTAACACAATGTTACTTACCACAAACCTGTCATTTCTGTTTAGAACTCAGATCTTCCAACTTTTTATTTATCATGTTTATTTGCCTTCCTTTACATTAGAAAAAATAAATCTTTTCTTCTAACATGCTTCAGTTGAACTTTTTCCACTTGCGCAATGGGAATAAAAGGTAAAACCAGTTCAATGTTACCCTAATCCAGCCAGCCCATCTGTCCACATATGCTTCCCCAGTATGTCTTGGAATTGGCACCTCTATGGCCTGAAACTGGGTTGCATTCCCAATGACACCCATGCTTGTCGTAAAAGGCAACTAACGGGATCGGGTGGTCAGGCTCGCTGACTTGGTTGATGCATGTCATCATCAATCCCAATTGCGTGTATCGATGCTCATGATATTAATCACTGGATTGTCTGGTCCAGACTCGATTATTTACAGACTGCCGTCATATAGCTGGAAGATTGCCGAGTGCGTTAAACAACAAACCAACCAACCAACCAACCCAATGACACCAGGTGTTATGAATGCAATGAACAGAGGCATCATCTTTTGTCTTAAACTAGGTCGGCATTCCCAGTGACACCAGGTAGCTTGAATCCCTTGAGGCATCATCTTTTGTCCTTAACATGGCCAACTTTCCCAAAGACACCAGGTGTTATGATTACCATGAACAGTGGCATCACCTTTTGTCCTGAAAATGGCCAACTTTCCCAAAGACACCAGGTGTTATGAATGCCATGAACAGTGGCATCGCCTTTTGTCCTGACAATGGGTGATTTTCCCTGTGACACCAGGTGTTAGGAATGCCATGAGCAGAGGCATCATTCTGTATACCAAATCTGGGAGGCATTCCCAATTACACTGGGTGTCCTAAATCCTATTCCCATTGGATACCTGCATGTGTGCAAGTGTGAATTGACCATACAAATGATTTTACAGCATCTTTAAATATTCATCATTTATCTCAGGTTCATGCACAACATACTCCGGAAATACAGCAAACTATTTATTCAAAGAAGGAGAAGATGCATATCTACATTGAATGGAATGATCTTTGGGACGTACAGATATTTCTGAAATGCTTACATTTAAATGATTTGCAGCCAAACATGATGGTTCCTCATGGCAATGCATTTTAGTGATTTACCACTTTTGAAAATGGGATATTGTATGGTGTAATTCATGTATATCCATTATTGTAGAATTGGTAGCAATTTTTGTGGGATTATTGTTTTAAACTGATCTTTTTCAGTCACTTCTGTGAAAAGGACAGTCCGATAATTCAAAATAATGAACACATTTTTCAGCACATCCATTGAGTCCAGAGGCAGATCCAGGGTTGAGAAACAGGACAGTTGGGTGGGTACAAAATAGAGAAATAGTGTTGAGCAGATGATAGTATACAGGTCTGATCCAGATATCTGGTTGTTGATTTCTAGACAATCGTGACGTTGACATCGACTGTGGATGGCCTTCGACCTCCGTCCTGAAAATACCATCACAATATGATTGATAGGTCATGATAACCCAATGTACCCCGAGTGATCCTTCTACAACAAATTTTTCTTACCAACATGTTTTAATGTGACCTTGCAAAAGAATTAACACAAATTTAAAATTGATAGAAAACAGTTGTACGATTGAGCTTGAGGTAACCGTGGGGCTTTTTGCTTTGAAGCGGGGTATAAGGGATTTATTCTGCCTCTGAGAAATCCACATGCAGCCTGTATTGCTTGTGACGGGATAAGAGATTTATTCCCCGCTGAGAAATTTATTACCCACCAAGGCGGGTTACACAATATTTTATCAAGATCACCTGGACCAATCTGACAGTGAGGTATGATAATACTACTTGTCACATTGCATAGAAGCTGCATGTTCCCTGACTTACAACACAGTTGCTTAGAGTGAGTGAGTGAGTTCAACTGTGTCTCAGCTATGCCTCCAAGAGTATGGCCCAATGGTGATTCCTAGGCAGAATGGTCACAAGTTCCCCCTCACTTCACAGTAGTGGGGATCATGTGGGTACAGTGAGTAACCTGTCTTATTTTGTCATCGTACTTATGACACAGGGATCAACTTCAGAAAGTTGATTTAACAGCATAAGGTGCGTGTTAACATGAAAACCAAGTTGCACCAAACAAAACCAGGTTGCACCCTTGTCCCATACATTTATCAAAGTTGAAACACAGGCTGGTCTGCTGCCCGTGTCACATAAATTAATGAGGAATTGCATTGTTTCTTTTCAGCCTTTCACCAGTTAGTGTGACTGATCCAGATTTGGTGTAAGACCACAGTAATGCTTTCGTAATATCTGACGACCTTGTAGAAAAATCACTTGTAGAAAAATCACGGTGTGTCAGCTTGATGTGGGAGGAAAGCCCGAATTGGTGCAGGTCTAAGACGTTTACCACCTTGGTGAAACCCACGAGCATGGGTATGGTGCTGACAAACGTACAAACATAACTTCCTCACTTCGAGATGAAAGGTGTAATTACTCCTGGCCTGACCCGTGAAGAACCGGAGTAGAATAGGTCTTAAGCAACCCATGCTTGCTGTAACAGGTGACTATGCTTATCGTAAGAGGCGACTAATGGATTGGGTGGTCAGACTCGCTGACTTGGTTGATGCATGTCATCGTATCCCAATTGCGTGGATCGATGCTCATGATGTCCATCACTTTATTGTCTGGTCCAGACTCGATTATTTACAGACCGCCATTATATAACTGGAATATTGCTGAGTGCGGCGTTAATTAACAAACAAACAACTCCTTGGCTTTAATCAGCTTCTGTCATACTAGTTAATATCAATTCAATCACTTGTATATTTTCCAAATTGTCGCTACAAAAAAAATTCAATTTCACCATAATAATGATATCAAAAGAAAACGCTAGTTTGATGAAAAACGACTTTCAAATCATATTTCGGAAATTCCTCAACTCAGAATCCTTCTGTGAAGGGGAAGTCCAGAAGTTATTCATTCAAGTTCCTATCTCTATTTCGGGCAACATTCAGTTTTCCGTGCTTACCGTTGCAGTCACTGTGAGAACGAGGCTCCCTGTCCGCCCAGACAGCAATCCTGATGTCATGATGGTGCCAGTTCTTTCGTCTATTCTGAAGGCTTGACTGCCGATCGGATCACTTGACTGGGAAATATATCATTATGGTGAATCTACATGTACATACTAGTGGAGTCCAAGAAGTCGACATCACTGCCTTATGTGTTTGGTTATTGGACACACTCATCTTTCGATGGGGATACTGGCATAGTTCATATGTTATGAATCATTTTGTACGATTATATGGAAATGTGTAACTAATGTTTTCAACCTACCCCCAGTGGGCATCAACATTCACGCAACGTACACCAACCTACACACAATACACGCCAATCTACCCTCAGTGTGCATCAACCTACTCTCAATACACATCAACGTGCCCTCAATACACACCAACCTACACTCAAGGCACATCAGCCTACCCTCAGTGTGCATCAACATACTCTCAATACACATCGACGTGCCCTCAATACACAACAGCCTACACTCAATACACAACAGCCTACACTCAATATACACCAACCTACACTCAATACACAACAGCCTACACTCAAGGCACAACAGCCTACACTCAAGGCACAACAGCCTACCCTCAATACACACCAACCTACACTCAAGGCACATCAGCCTACCCACAGTGTGCATCAACCTACTCTCAATACACATCACCATGCCCTCAATACACACCAACCTACACTCAAGGCACAACAGCCTACCCTTTAAGGCGCACCATTCTAAATACCAACGTACCTTCAATACACATCAACGTAACCTAAATACACATCAACCTCCCCCCCTCAAGGCACAACAGCCTACCCCTTAAGGCGCACCATTCTAAATACCAACGTACCTTCAATACACATCAACGTAACCTAAATACACATCAACCTCCCCTCAAGGCACAACAGCCTACCCCTTAAGGCGCACCATTCTACATACCAAAGTAACCTCAATACACATCAACGTACCCCCAAGGCACATCAACCTACCCTCATGGTGTATGTGATTTCCCCGAAGAGTCCGGAGTCCGCATCTGAAGCCCCCAGCTGGATTACAATGGTGTTGACTGGGGAACTCTGAAACGGACATTGACAGTGTAGTCAGAGGGTGAGCAACAAGCTACGAGGAGTACACGTCTTGGGGATCTTTTCCGGGTTGAATTAAACATATTTATTCACATGAAGTGAAATGACTTGGTACACGTCAAAGAACTTAAAACGTCCGTTGACTTTTACTGATTTATTTTTGGACAGAGGAAATATGACTTGTGATCATTATGAGCATGAGAAAGATCCGCATTGCCATATAAAAGAAATGGCGGATCGATTTCATCACAAATTATGAAAAACTGATGATCTGTCCCGAAATAAGTGCTGTCTCGAGCGTGTAATAACTTCAACTGTTACTGTAGACTTTCCATTGTACTGCATGTACAGTATGTTTATTATAATAAAAATAATATTCTTGTCGAAAAGGGGCGGTGGAGTAGCCTTGTGGTTAAAGCGTTCACTCGTCACGCCGAAAACCTGGGTTCGATTCTCTACAATGATACAATGGGTGAAGCCCATTTCTGGTGTCCCCCGCCGTGATATTGCTGGAATATTGCTTCAAGCGGCGTAAACCATACTCACTGACTCTTCTCGAAAAAGACCTAAAGACGTTTCCTACTTTGGCGAGAACGCTTATGTTGTTGACAAACCTAGGATAATAATCGGACTCGAACCTACGATCACCCAGAAGTCCGAACCTTGTTTGTGAAGGGTGCCACCGGTGGGGCAGGATACGCTAACCTTTTTCGTAAAGACCTGGTATCATCACTATTTTACTCATGCAGATCTTGGGGGCACGGTTGACCAAGTCGTCTAAGGCGCCGCTATTCGCTGTACAGAGTTGCATCCCTTGGACACGCCAGAAACCAATGATTGTGGGTTCGAATACCGGTTCGCCCCGATTATGTTTCTAGGTTTGTCAGCACCATACCCGTGCTCGTGGGTTTCACCAAAGTGATAAACGTCTGAGACCCTCATCACTTCGGGCTTTCCTTCCACATTAAGCTGACACGCCGTGATATAACTGGATTACTGTTAAAAGCGGCGTTAAACCCAACTCACTCACTCACTCTTGGTGGTAGTAGCAAATTACATGCTTATTACATAGTCGTTATCGTACACAAGATTCTGCTTTCCTATGATTATGAAAATTGGTTTGTGGCTTTTTACACGTGACGAATTATTGGTATAGTGTAAGGGACTTTCTCGCGATCTCGAGCTTTGGAAACGAGCTAAATATGCCAAAAGTGCGAGAAAGCGAGATCGCGAGAAGAGAATGTGCCTAACAGTAGTTTCTGCAGCAGGCATGTACTGATGTTTCAACAGATGTAACGTGTCCTGTATTTGCACAAGCTAATGATGTCTTACTTCTGCAACAGATGCCGTGTACGTAGGTAGAGTAAACACTGGGACGTTGTCGTTCAAGTCCTCCACCCTAATCATCACAGTCGCAGTGGTCTGAAACAAATAGGGGATGTTTTTTGTCAACTGTAAAATATTTCTTGCCAAGAAGGTAGGGACACAGTCCTCGTGCTTGTTATGTGTTGTGCGCATGCGTTAGTTGAATGTGCAGATACATGCGGTAGTTAGTTGGTTCAATAGGAAACACGGCGCTGTTATTGACATTATTGTAGGGTATTAATATGACGATATTGCAGCCGTTATGTATCTATTTTCATTTCTAAGTCTACATGTATTGTTCATTTAGATTCCACAGATACGTTAACACAAAGTCAGTTATCAGTCTACCGCCTCCGCGGTACTGTTGATAGAGCGACTGTCTCGGGAGCTTTAGTACAGTAAACTCCAGTTATAACGAACACGCTTATAACGAACTGACGGATATAACGAACTTACTTTTTGGTCCCGACTATATGCTGTTGTTATACTGTATGTATGCTTATAACGAACTACGGTTATAACGAACTAAAATTAGTAGTCGATTTGAGTTCGTTATAACCGTACTTTACTGAACCATAGTTCGATTCCTGGCAGCGCCATACCAAAATACCTTATAAGATGGTACGTCTTGTTGCCCTGACTGGCGCTCGGCATTAAGGGACTAAAACAAGGACTGGTCGGCTCGGAGTCAGTATACTGTGTCTGTCTGGTGTGATCCGTGTAAAACTGCGGCATGGTATCTCACTATAAAACTATAAAACTATGCATGCACGTGCACATTGCAATATAAGTGCAATAATCTCGAAGGAGACGTTAACCCCCTGTTCACCTCAGCACAGGTATAGGTCTTGAAATATTTTTGTTTTTGTTTTTTGTTTGTTTGTTGTTTAACGTCGCACTCAGCAATATTCCAGCTATATGACGGCGGTCTGTAAATAATCGAGTCTGGACCAGACAATCCAGTGATTAATATCATGAGCATCGATAGGTCTTGAAATAATAAAACAAACATATAAATTTCTATTTGGGAGTCTATTTCTTATGACTGAGTGCTTAGGTATGGATGTATTTCAATTTGCAATTTTGGAACATGCAATGAGAACATTCATATATACACCTGAGAATAATTAAGCATCCCTTCCTTTATTCTTCCAAATAAAAAAGTCAGTGGTGCTTAACATGTTTCCAGATGTAATATAGAAATGTCGACATTTCCAAGTGTATGGATTATTTCTGATACTTGTAAGAGATTAAAACCCCCAAACATATGACCGGGTAAATATGCGACCACACAGGCAAACATACGAACAGACAGGCATACAAATACACGGACAGACAGGCATACAAATACACGGACAGACAGGCATACTAATACACGGACAGACAGACAGTCTTTACCTCAGCCAACCCGTCGCTGGCAATCAGCAGGACAGTGTTATTCTCAGGGTCCTGCAAAGATGAAATGATAGGTCATATCGTACGGTTTCATTTTGACAAGATTTTTAAGCTGTTCTCAAGTTAATTTAAGACATGGTTCCTGCCAAAATCAATATATCAGTGTGATAATAAACTTATTTCCAAACGTAAAACATGACTTTAAAATTATCCATAACGCATGATAAATTATTCTATCGTGAAATGGATGTGATTACATCATCGTTACCTTAGGTGAGACATTCTTATGTCAAAGTCAGTAGCCCAGTGAAACAATACAGGATGGATGGATGGATGGTTTGTTGTTTAACGCCGCACTCAGCAATATTCCAGCTATATGACGGTGGTCTGTAAATAATCGAGTCTGGACCAGACAATCCAGTGATTGATATCATGAGCATCGATCCACGCAATTGGGATCGATGACATGCATCAACCAAGTCAACGAGCCTGACCACCCGATCTCGTTAGTCGCCTTTTACGACAAGCATAATCACCTTTTACGGCCAGCATGGGTTGCTGAAGACCTATTCTACCCCGGAATCTTCACGGGTCGAAACTATACAGAACAAGAATATAATATCCTCTTTAACTGATATGCTAAAAAATAATCTCACAATGTCTTAATTTTTTCTGTCCAGAAGAAAAGATAATTATAATTACCCTCTCTCGATCAAACACGGTGTTGATGCCCAGGTAATATATCAAAGAGTTATCCCCGGTCTGAGACAGAAGGGATCTAACAAGGTAGCCGCCATTGAAAGCAGTGTCGCCCGCAATGCGCATGGTCACTTCCTCTGGGCCATCAGCGTCAAAGGATCGAATAGAGCCTATGTAGCTCCCTTAGAAAACAAAATACGCTGGCATTTAAATCATAACAATGGGTTATCTGTCTACCTTACCAAGTTGTATTTCTGGACAGTGAGACTTTTTGAATACAGACACAACTGTTCCGGTAGTTGTGTTTGTGGGTTGTTAAACGCGTACTAAGCAATATTCCAGCTATATGACGGCGGTCTGGAAATAGTGGAGTCTGGACCAGACAAACTAATGATTGACATCATGAGCATTGATACACGCAATTGGTATACGGTGACATGCATCAACCAAGTCAGCGAGCCTGACCACCCGATCCCGTTGGTCGCCCCTGACGACAAGTATAATCGCCTTTTACGGCAAGCATGGGTTGCTGAAGACCTATTCTAACCCGGATCTTCCCGGGTCCGTCCGGATAAGAAGATTTCCTGACTAACAAATCCTGCAGGGACATAATGAGATACAGTTGTCATAGCGTATTTCAACCTTCTAGCACAACGTTAGGTAGCGTGGTTGTGACACCATTCATGGTAGTAGTTCACAGAATATGGTTGCATGGACTTAATTTCATAACGTTGCCACAACGTACAATACAACGTTCCCAACGTAAAAAACAGCGTTATACAACGTAAACCACCTTCCCGCAACGTTATAACGACGTGAAAATGGCGTATCTCAACGTTGACCCGCAACGTTGTCACACAGAATAACGATGCATGGACATTATATCACGACTTTGGACAACGAAAACAAAACGTGTGCCACAACGCTGTGTTTTAAAGTTACACGAACATTGTATCACTGTATTTTTCCGTTTCCTCAATGAGGATAGAGACCAAAGATAGTACACACTCACCGTTGATATTGTTTTCTCTGACGGTGAAGGTCATGACCTGCTGAGGGAACGTCGGTGCCACGTTGTCTTCAACTATAACATACACGCATTTCTAGAATTGTACAACATGTTATGGAAATACGCCTAATAAACCGATCCCGTATCTGACGCTCTTCGCTCATCTTTTAACAAGTCTGCCAACACAAGTGAAATCGTGAGTTTGGTTAAGTTCTCAGTGTTGAACAATATTTCAGTTATATGGGCGTTTGCAGTGTCCAACAGCACGTTTATAAAACCCACAAAACAGATCAACTGACTATTTGGGCGGTCTGGTAGCCAAGCGAATAAAGCATTAGCTCGTCACGCCGAAGACCCGGGTTTGATTCTCGACATGGGTACAATGTGTGAAGCCCACTTCTGGTGTCCCCCGCCGTGATATTGCTGGAATATTGCTTAAAGCGGCGTAAAACCATGCTCACTCACTCAGCTGACAATCTGACAAGCTTAGACGAATCGGGCTTTCTTTACTGTCACAACGACACCGTCTCTGAACATCCGCGAGGAAGAGTGTTCATTGAATATCAAATGATGACCAACATCAACGATAAAATTAATACAAGTATGCACAACACACCCTTCACAACATGTAAACTTTGCCTTGTAAAGGGTTAACATGCCAATGTACATATACTACATATATAATATTTACATTATATGCTTGTAAATGTGAAATAAATAATTGGGTACCCTCGTGTGTATGTAACAAAATTTTATTAATTCGTGGAACGAAAACAGTTTAGCGTGGATAGCAATTGCTCATATTGGTAACACTTTAATTAATATTTTGTTCATGATGATGATGATGATGATTATGATAATGCTTATTACCTGTTACTGGACTAGACTGTATCCTCAATCTCACCAGGACCGACGCATTCAGGGAAAGAGGCAAACCTCTGTCCTGAAACAATACACGACATTGGTTTAACAGCCTCCTGTAGATCTACGTTTACTTTTAGGCCTAAAAATATACTTCTTCAAATTTTGCTATTCATATATTTACAACATGCTTATGATTATTCAGTTACAATCTTCAACTAATGAGAACAGTCACTCCTAAATAACTGATATATGATACTGTGCATTTGTATCCGTTCCTATTATTTCAGTCCAGATTAAGTTATTTTATTGTTTTGAATTTTTTCATAGTCAATAAGATAACATGCGGGATGTAAGATAATCAATATCAATGTTGTCAAGGCTGATTTGCTGTTGATGTCGTTATATAGCCTTCGTTAATAAGGTAAGGACAAAAGTGATTTAAACTACCAATGTTTTGAATGAATCGCATCATGTGTTTTGTATTCACTTCAGGACAAACATTATGAAAATGATTCAATAATCAAGGCTTGGTCTTGACAGTACATACTCTCGCCTCCACCCTGAGAGTGACCGTCTGACCGTCCAGAGAGGTCAAGGAGTTGGTGACAAGGATAACTCCTGTGTTTTGATTGACGCTGAAGTATCCAGGTGCTGTCGACGACTGAAACATAAACAAGCGTTCACTCATTATATCATAATTATACATATTTTTTAATTTCGCGAATGAGATTTACCTTTGCGAATGAGATATAGCCTTTGAAGTGGATATATAATGTGTATAAAATTCGATGTTTGTTTTGATTGTTTGTTTGTTTTTTAACGCCGCACTCAGCAAAATTCCAGCTATATATATGACGGCGGTCTCGAAATAATCGAGTCTGGACCAGACAATCCAGTGATTGGTGTCATGAGCATCGATCCATGCAATTGGGATACGATGACATGCATCAGCCAAGTCAGCGAGCCTGACCACCCGATCCCGTTAGTCGCCTCTTACGACAAGTATAATCGCCTTTTACTGCAAGCATTGGTTACTGAAGGCCTATTCTACATGGGTGTTCACGGGTAATAAAATGCGATGACTAGAGTGAGGAAATCCGTCTTTTAACGAATGTTCAAAACATATTCCAAGAAACAAATTTTTATTTATGATATGTATGATGAATAAACATAGTATGTGTACAGTGGAAACTTTTGTTATTTATCGAGCAACATGATGTGGTCACACGACTTGATCCAAGATGTAATAAATGTCGTTCAGAACGTACGCACCTGTCGTATCAACGACCAATGGCCAATGCCCTCGGAGCTCCCTGTGTGACTTACCTGGATAGAGTACTGGACAGTGCCGTTATCCCCTCCCTGTGTGACTAACCTGGATATAGTACTGGACAGTGCCGTTATGCCCTCTCTGTGTGACTTACCTGGATATAGTACTGGACAGTGCCGTTATCCCCTCCCTGTGTGACTAACCTGGATATAGTACTGGACAGTGCCGTTATGCCCTCCCTGTGTGACTAACCTGGATAGAGTACTGGACAGTGCCGTTATGCCCTCCCTGTGTGACTAACCTGGATAGAGTACTGGACAGTGCCGTTATGCCCTCCCTGTGTGACTAACCTGGATAGAGTACTGGACAGTGCCGTTATCCCCTCCCCGTGTGACTTACCTGGATAGAGTACTGGACAGTGCCGTTATGCCCTCCGTGTGTGACTTACCTGGATAGAATACTGGACAGTGCCGTTATGCCCTCCCTGTGTGACTTACCTGGACAGAGTACTGGACAGTGCCGTTATGCCCTCCCTGTGTGACTTACCTGGATAGAGTACTGGACAGTGCCGTTTTCCCGCTGGTCAGGGTCAGTCGCAGACACGGTCAGCACGGAATTTCCGACACCCATGGACTGAAACATGTACCAGCCCTGTTTTACTTTCATTAAAATGAGTGAGTTGGATTTAACAGCGCTTTGAAGAATATTCCAGTTATATCTCATTTTGTCAACTTAATGTGGGAGGAAAGCCCGAAGTGATGCAGGTCTCAGACGTTTACCACTTTCGTAAATACCCGTAATCCCGGTAAGATATTGACAAACCAGAAAGTTTAGTCGGGTCGAACAGGATTCGAACCCACGATCAAACACAACATTATAAACATTTTGACTAACTAAATAACAAAACGCTGCATATATTATCCTAAACTGGATCATGGACATTTTATTTCATAAATTCCAAGAAAGCTAATATTTTCGATTGAAAGATAAATATAAGAAATATTGCGGAAAAAGAAACTTCATCATTTCATAGTTCTAGTAAAAAGGAAACTCAATTGCAGTTTTGATGAGAAGGACTAAACTACTTTAACAGTCGTTTATTTGACCATCTGAGTATACGTGTTCGCATCCAAATATGTCAAGTCGGTATTGTGCGCATTGGGGGTAAAAATGTATAATTTTGTATAAGAATTGAAAATAATCATAAACAACATGTCGTTTTCTCAAATTAGTTCACAGTCTCTGTTGCCCATTTTTAGCCAACTATCTAAATTATGTCCCCTGAACCTCCGACCAGAATCAAGGGTTACTACAACCATCCTTACGCGCAAAAGGTTGCCCCTTTGAAACCCAGCGATACGAACTGCGACTTACTGTGGATAAGGTAGAAGAGTAGGACGATGACGTGAAGGTGGGGGTGTTGTCGTTGACGTCCTCGATGACGATTGTCACTGTTGACGTGACCTTCAACAGAGAAGCACAGATATTAACGGTGAATAGGAAAAGGGATGAGTAGTAACGGGTGATACAAGAAATGTTGCAATTGTACATGTATCAATAGTTGACATCGATACCACTCTAGACCTTCGATCTTGTCGGTACATGTACTACAATATATAACATATAATGACCTTTATAAATTACTTTAAACAGATACGTGGGTGTCCATAGTTATTGCAAACTGACATATATCTATAATCAGAGTCAACTCAAGAAGGAAACAAAGAGGGGAAAATTATATGATTGGATTACGGAACATCGGTGACGACACCAGGTATTCGCGAAAAGGGTAAGCATGTCCTACACTACCAGTAGCACCCGCCATTCACCCAATTTGCAGAAGATAGTATGTGTTGTTGCCTGACGCCTTACAGCGGCACTGCCATCATTTCGAATAGTACCAGGGGATGCACATTATAGAAAGGTTACCATAACTTCGCAATACAACTGATGCACACGCTCCGCTATGGCGTTTTTAAAATGCTATTGTAAATATTAAAATGCTATTGTAAATATTAAAATGCTATTGTAAAATATTAAAATGCTATTGTAATTATTAAAATGCTATTGTAAATATTAAAATGCTATTGCATTTTACAGTTATGCTCCCAAAGGCCATCCCTAGTTGTGACTGACTCCTACATGTCATACCTATGTTATCTGTCCACCTTACCAAGTTGTATTTCTGGACAGTGAGACGTTTTGATTACAGACACAACTGTTCCGGTAGGGTCATCCGGATCAGATTTGTTTTGTTTGTTTGTTTGTTTGATTCTTGATCAGGCAATCCAGTGATTAATATCATGAGCATCGATCCACGCAATTGGGATACGATGACATGCATCTACTAAGTCAGCGAGTCTGACCACCCGAACCCATTTATCGCCCACATCTTATTGGTTAGAACAGATCGTTTAATTCTGTGCACCAAGTAGGATGGAACTTCATAGAATAACCAGTGGAGTGTAAAAGGATACTTACTGAGTTTTGTCCGTCAGAGGCAACGATCCTAAACACCTTAGTCGCCTCCTGCAATAGGAACATCCCATGTCTAACCTGGTTCAGGGATTGCATCATGGTTCGGCTCATATAGTTTATCAATGGAATCAGTGACTGAATCAATTATCACTCGTCATTATTTTCAAATGCTACCAGTAAATACCTTTTAATATATTTTCCTTTAACAGGTACATCAATTGTGCTGTACCATTAACAAATATGGACTAAAACAAATTAATAACTAAAGAAAAAACGGTTCCATTTACAAACAGGCAGTATATTGTTATCAAATATGAAATGTGGCATGAACTTACAAGTTCCCGATTGAGGAATGTATTCAGGGTTATCCTGGTCAGGGTAGCTGTTTCGTTGTTGATTGAACCCCCAATTTGGACGGTATCGAATGACTCTCGGTCAGGCAAAGACAAGGTCACCCTGTTAGGGCCATCGAGGTCAGAGGTCAGGACAAGCATGAGAATGGTCCCTGTAGAAGACAAACAGAGGACATGGAATAAATATATATGTATCGTTCGATAAATTTGTTTATGTTGTATTTTTTTTTATACGCCAATTCGGTTAACAATGTTCATACAATCTACATTTGAACAATATTTTGCAGGTCATATTGCCTGAGTCAGTTACATGGTATTTTACACTGCTTTTAGTTAAATTATATTTCTGCCACAACATCTAAAGGTTCACAAATAGTTCCAATGACGAGCGAACGCTTAAACCACTATGCAACCATACATTTTTATAAATATATTTTCAATATCACTGTATTCGATATATCAGTAATCACAATCATCGCCTTATTACTGCACAGGCGATGGGGTAGCCTAGTGGTTAAAGCTTTTGCTCGTCACTTAGAAGGCCCTGGTTCGATTCTCCACATGGGTACTATGTGTGAAGCCATTTTCTGGTGTCCCCCGCCGTGATATTGCTGGAATATTGCTGAAAGCGGCGTGAACCCCATACATAGTTCATTTAAAGAATCGTTGTTTGTCCAGCAACGGAGCTTCAGAAGGCGTACAACTGACCTGTCGGGGTGTTTTCAGGGACCCTGATGGTTGTCGGAACTCCTTGAATGACTGGACTTTGGTTGTCACCATCTTGAACAGAGTTATAAAAACATTATAATGATTCAATTGCCTTTTCTCTTGTGCAGAATGAACGAACTTTTAATCTCAATTTGTTAACGTTTTAACCAAGGCCTTAATAAGGCTTTCAACACGTTTTATGGAAGACAGGGAGATAAATTCCAAAATTCGCGTCACTGACAAAAAATGCAATCCGATGAATTCTTTATTCTTTATGTTCCTGTTTTTTTAGGTGAACAATTGACTATCCCTTTGCAAGTGTTTCTTTTGATTTATTGTCGTCTTAACTACAGATACCGTAAAAACTGTTTCTGGTAATGATAAAAGATAAACAGTATGTTTTATAAATAATTGAGTTTATCAACAGTATACGCACCACTGATGACTCTGATCGTCACATTGGTTGTCGACAGTTGGGCTGGGGTCCCATCGTCCTGGCAATAATAATACAACATCATTCAAGTGATTGTGTCCAGATGTCCTAAAATATCAATGGTTGCCAAGTCTTCTGTAGTTCATTGATTGGCAGGGATTTCATTGGGGACTACTTCCAAAATTAGACAAGAGATAACAAAGAGCTTAAACTATTTCATCATCATTGAATGATCACAGAAATAGTTGCGGTTTCCCATTTTAAATCTTTGTTAACCAGAAAATAGCAGCCCCCGTCGACTAAAGCCATACAATCTTTGACGTCAAATATGTCTGCCCTCGTCCCTTAAAGCTGTAGAAAGATTAACATCAAATATGTCAGCACTCGTTGATTAAAGTCATCAAATCATTGCCATTAAATACGACAGAACTCGATTAAGGTAAAAGCAACAAAAAACACGTCACATAGTCAACGAGTTCTGATAAATCAAAAGACACAAGGGGCAGAACATCTATGTTGGGGCGGTGTTCTGTGCAAGTGTGTATGTAGTACTCACAGTTGCTATGACGGAGAAGTTGACAGTCCTCCCCGCCAGGTTAGCAAGCGAGGCCACGATGATGACACGACCAGTGGAGCTCTCTACTTGGAAGGACCCTGACAAATCTTGGGCTGTGTTTGTCTGGAGAACAACACGTGACATGTGACGTTTTGTAATATCAGGCAAAAGACTTGCTGATGAGTTGGTTTGAGCATTCAAATTATTGATGCATGAAATTTTCTACGCTTTAATAATAGTAATATAAAAACACATTTTAAATAAATTTACCAATCTTAAGAAACATTAGGGATATTATTACATATGCTATAAATCATACGTGTATGTTTAAAATAAGAGTACATGCATTTCAGCGTCGTATTCACATGGTAGTAATTTCAATCACAACGTTATGCTGGTTCAGAAAAAGTGATATATGAATATCTTGACGCTTTAAGATTCCATTTGTTCTGCCAATACAAATCAATGCCCAAGAATGGAAATAAACAAGAATCAACATCTTTTCTGGTTACTCCGCGAGCTATGCATGGGTGTAAATATACTCTTCAAAAAGAGGAGGAGATAATAGAAAATATCTTGTAGGGTATACTAGATTCTAGTAATAGTTGCATGATAATAATGAACGAATTAGGAACACATTACAACCGGAAGTGAAGTATGACAGTCGATGTTATTACAGCCAACGATCTTGAAGGACGATGTGGGTTAGATGGGGAATTTCAAAGTTGACGTGTTTGGATCATACTGCCGCTACGATTTGTTAAACATTCATTCACTCGACGAGGCATACTGCATATTGCCGTATTTGTCTCGCAATGGCGAGTTAGGGACTCTGAACCACTCCTTTTACAGTGCCAAGCCAAGTTCAGCGAACGTGGTCGGCGGCCTATCATGTCCCAGACGTGTTCAATAAGGGAAAGATCTGGGCTAATTGCTGGCTATGGTATTCAATGGATGTTGGGCTGCTGGAGGCGAGCATTGACAATTCGTGCACAGTGAGCACGAGCGTTGTTGTCCTGAAAGACAACGGGACAACAAAAGGTGTCAGTATGTTGTCCCGACAGTACAATCCAGTCACCCTTCCTTGCACAATTTGGAGTATACGGTCACTCATAGTGATGCCACCCCACACCATAATCTTCCACCGCCAAATCTGGCATCAACTTGACATTGGCTTGACGTTCATTTCGATGTCGCCAGACACGACCACGCCTGTCACAGACTGTGAAACCCTGAACGTGTTGGCCACTGTACGTTGACTTTTGCCAGTTTCCAGCATGCCAATATCCCGTAGAAGCTCCGCGCGTTGCAGACGCCGCATTGCTAATTCATACACACTGTGAATAAAATCATAACTGTATGATAAGCAGAATCGGGATGATCGACAGAAATAATGATCTACAGAGATAAATCGATCTCCTTGAAAGTGTCAAAATCAGCAATAACACCTTTCGCACGTGTGTGGCGCTACTGAGTGCGGCACGGGCAAACCATCCAATATGTTTTGGTGTTATGCTTTACAGACATTAACGTTCTTGCATAGGATGTTTGTTGTCAAAACTTTTCTTTGTTCTAATACTTGGTGTTAACATTTAAATTTCATGATCGCCTTCTTATTAAATATGTACTAAGCATTACTTGTTTCCGGTAAGTAACTTGTCCATTGTTGCCAATGTCAGCATCCGTCGCCTGGGTCTGGAGGATGATACTGCTGACTGGGGTACTCTGTACCAACACAACATCTTTATACAGTGACACATCGTTAATCTGGACAGTGAAATGTACATGCGTTCCAAATAATTCATATCCGGATTAAAGGACATGGATACTTTGTACATTCCCTTATGGACCAATCATTAAGAAACCTGAGGCATTTGTCCCCAAGAGTATTTTCGGAAGTTCCTCTGTTAGGTTTATGCTCTCACAACAATACTCGCCAAATGTCGAGTTTCAGGACTTGAGGGGTCTGGAATAACGGGACTTTGAACGAAAGGCAACGTTAGACTGTCAGTACAGGTTGATCTGCAGCTGAATATATTTCTATTCCGTTGATTTGTAATTGCCTCCAGTGAAGCTAACTTTGTGATAAGTATGCATAAATGTTTTTGAAACTCATTTTTTTCCCCAGCAAAACTGAAGTTCTGTTAATATGGAGATACAGAGGCTACACAATTTCAAAATAGATTCATCACATTACTTTGCATCCGTTACAGCGCATTACAATGAAGATGTCGCAACGCAAACAGTCATCACAAAGTCTAAAGAGAGAGAGACCAAACTTACAGCTGGAATAGAGGTAATGTACAGTTGTTGGCTGAAAACAGGGGCGTTGTCGTTAACGTCTTGCACCCCAACTGTCACTGTAGCGGTGGCCTAGACAAAGTCGAACAAAGGAAGTTGATTGACATCTCGATATAGAGTAAGTTAGTAATGTATTTGAACAGTGGTTAAGTTGAGTGTTAACTTGATGGTGGAAGAAAACTTCGGAGACGAAGATCGTAGATGTTTACCACTTTGGTGAAACCCATGGACACTGATTTTGCTCAAGGATCATAATCGGGAACCGAATCAATGATCAGCGGATCCTGGCACGGCTAAGAGTCTCACAGGGCCACGGATACAGGGCCACCACCCTATGCGCATATAGACCCTTTTTATACTCAAGTTCGCTCTAAATCAAACTACTACTACTACTACTACTACTACTACTACTACTACTACTACTACTACTACTACTACTACTGGGACCGCCTCCGTGGTCTAGTGGTAGAGCGTCCGACCGGAGAGCGGAAGGTCCGGGGTTCGATCCCCGGCCGCGTCATACCAAAAGACGTTAAAAGATGGTACTTGTTGTTACCCTGCCTAGCGCTCGGCATTAAAGGGGCTTAAACAAGGACTGGTCGGTTCGGAATCAGTATACTGTGTCTGAGTGGGGTATTCATGTTAAACTGCGGCATGGTACCTCAGTGAGCTAGCACTATAAATCGGCATCAGTCCGGAACAGTACAGGCAGCCACACAAACACACACACACGTACATGCACGTCGCTATATAAGTGCAATAATCTTGGACGCGACGTTAAACCCCATTTCACCTCACCACCTCAAGCTGTTACAAGTGGGATGTTCTCTGTATCTAACCTATATATTTTTAGTTATTACCTCTTGACGTCCACCCATGGCAATAACTTTCAAGAGGTATCGTGGAGACTGAAACAACAATGTACAAGCGCAAAGTTACTGTAAGAAAGTTGGTTGTATTTTGGTTAATTGATTAAATAAAATGCAAATGTATTTAACAAATACATACTTCTATCATTATCACATAACTGAATGATGCGTGTTTATTATCCATATATAAAAGTATTATTATGTAAACGTTTACCCACAATAATTCCAGCACAAAATGTAACAGCCTACTCACAATTTCTCTGTCGAAAGGTCCGTTTGCCACTATGGCAATTCTACTTCCAGTGTTGGTAAGAGTTGGTTGTAACGTGAAGAGTGAATTGTAGTCATCTTCCATTATGAATGAGATGCTTTGACCAGCATTGGAATAGCGAGCTGTTAATGTGGTTACGACTGTATCTGAAAGGGAGACACATTAATTGATATTTAAAGCTGTGAAACTGTTGTGAAACTTGTTTTATCCAGACCCGTTAATCACCGTCACCTGAGTCGGTGGGTGAAAGGCGTGTCGGCCTGTCAGTAATCAAGTCTGGATTAGACAAACAAGTGGGTAGATCTATGTAGTACACAACGATGCGTCAAATTTGAAAATGATATTCAAAGAAGTGCTAAACTGGAATCATTTACTCGTTATATTAATCGATGCTTATAAGGACAACCACCGAAAATGAAAGGTGGCTTTATGTTGAAGTGACAGATGTCTACTCTATTCAGCAGCAGCTGCAGGGCTAAGTATGCTGTTTGACGCCGCCCTCAGCAATATTCCAGTTAATGACGGCGGTCTGTAAATAACAGAGAATGGACCAGATAATCCAGTGACTGACATTATGAGCATTGATCTACGCAATTGGGATACGATGACATGCATCAACCAAGTCAACGAGTCAACCAACCCGATTCCGATCCTTGTCTCTTACGACAAGCATGGTATGCTGAAAATCAATTCTAACCAGGAGCTCGAGCTTCACGAGGAGCAGGACTAAGTCATAATGGGCATTCCACATGGTCGATGTTTTCACTATCAAGTAGCTACACCATATATATACGATATATCTGGGTCACATTGTATAATGTCAGCCAGAAAAGGGGATACCTGGTTGCTTATATATCAAACAAGCGTTGTTAATGACTTTGATCAAGATGTACTCATAACATAACAAAGCTTACTGGCAGGCAAATTTTCCCGGACGATGACGTTGACTTGGGATCTGTCAAACACGGGACCTGTGTTGCCTGTGTCATCTGTAACAGATGAGTGAACATGACCTGACTAAACCTAGTAAAAGCAGATTAGTAATAGGAATATAAGTTGTTTATTTTTGTAAATGAACATCTTACCAGTAGGCATTTGCTACAGCTATTAATTTACACATGCAAATAATAGGTTCAGGATTCCAAAATGCACTTAACACATTTTTCTATGTTGAAAAAATGGGTAAACATGTATCAAGAACAACATTTATTCATTTATCGTTTTATATTTCAAATAAAATATGCCTGTAAACAGTTATATAACGGCGATCCAAGCTGACTTTACCTCTCCTACTGTTACCAGATTGTTCTTTGGTTGGAATGTTCGAACTTGTATATAGCGTCATGTTCTTACCTGGTTGTCCCGTTACCTGAATGTCCACAATAGCCGTGGCACTCAAGGGTGGAGTACCGTTATCCTTAACAGATATAGAAACAACATTATTTTAGATTGTCACTAATCATGTATTGTTACCAATCACCTCAATAGACTGTGGAGACAATGTAACATTATAGTTTGTATTAGTCATCTGAATTCACAACCATATTTAAAAGATAATGTTAAATTCTGAATCAAGTATATATTCGTTTCATTGATCTTGTCATAAACATTATATAAAACAATATCATGTAAGATTATGTTCTTATCATTAGAGATGAACACAATATTAAATACGATTCTGTACTTATATTCTCACCATTAGCCTTAACAGATATGCACACAAAATCATATAAGTTTATTTAATAATCATGTATCAAACATTTAGCATTAAAAGTTAAGGACACACAATATCATAAAAAGATAATTCCTAGCGTTTAGTATTTCCATTGGCCTTAACAATTACACACAATGTCATATAAGATTATTTACTGATCATGTGTATTTCATTTTCATATAGCCTGAACAGATATAGACACACTATCATATAGGATTAAGTACTGACCATGTGTCTTACATTTACATGTTGCCTCAACATATATAGATATACTATCATATAGGATTAAGTACTGACCATGTGTCTTACATTTACATGTTGCCTCAACAGATATAGACACACTATCATATAGGATTAAGTACTAGCCATGTGTCTTACATACAGATCCTGCAACAACCGATCCCATTAGCTTCTGAAGTAATGGTAATCAAATACTCTACAGTTATCATGAACCTTAGAAAGAATATGGAGAACAAACTGGGATGAATTGGACTTGTTTTGAATTTGGGCGTTTTGAAATGACGACACTGAAACCATAGAACATCTTTTCTTTTATTGTAATGCGACAAGGAACCTATACTCCAAAAATCATTGACGAATCACAATGAAGATCCTGCATCTCGACAGCGTGTCATTCACACTTGAAGACCCCAACCTCGAAAACCACCTCTGTATTATTTTAAAAACATATATTAACACCTTCCGTTTTAGAAATAGTATTCCTGACTTAAGCCGTGTATTACATCTGATAAGGAATTGTTACATATTGCTTCTTTGAGTGGCATTTAGAAGTTGGAGTGATGAAGTAAGACGAGTTCTATGGATGAACAACTTCTTTATTACAATTAGTGCGACGTTTCGGTGTAGATCCTAACACCTTTATCAAGCAAGTGATAAAGGTGTTAGGATCTACACCGAAACGTCGCACTAATTGTAATAAAGAAGTTGTTCATCCATAGAACTCGTCTTACTGTTACATATTAGATAAGGTATTGCTAGCCCATCTCCTCCTCCGCACCCTTCTTCGTTTCTAGTCCTCATCCCCTATCCTATCCACTATCTCATTCACTATTGAAAAAAATGTTTTCCACCCCAGTAGCCCTTAACCACGTGGGTATGTAAGGGATTGTATAAAACGTGGTTTTTCTATTGTGAGTAAAGTTGAAAAATAGAATTAGATTTTGGTGATTGATATCAAACTAATAGTAATGAATGTCGTTTGAATAAAGAGGTGTAACCGGAATGTACCTGTGCAAGAACTGCTATAGTCTGGACTGTATTTGCAATGCGCGAAAGTGTGGCTTGTGTTGTGATCAGGCCGGTGTTGACGTTGATACTGAATTCGGTAGATCTCTGAAATAGCATGAAAACAAGACTCAATCTCGACACAATCCACAGAGAGAGAGAGAGAGAGAGAGAGAGAGAGAGAGAGAGAGAGAGAGAGAGAGACAGACAGACAGACAGACACACACTAACACAGAGAGAGAGATAGACAGACAGACAGGCAGACAGGCAGACATACACAGACAGAGGCACAGACACAAAGACAGACACACATACACTGACAGACACACAGAGACATAAACACACAGACACACACACACACTTTTATATATGTGTGTGTGTGTGTGTTGTTAAGAAGGATTTTCTTTCATCTTACATTAAGTGCAAAAGGTAAAATATCATATTAGATTATTCAATAGGATACCTGTGTGAATCTATAGAACACCTGCCCAGCATTCCCGGTGTCGCTATCTGTAGCGCTGACTGCCGCCACCATACTGCCCACTTGGATACCCTGTAGTAAATTATATATACTGTTTTAATTATAAACTTACTCAACAAAACATCAAAACATATAATCACGTTACAGCAGCGATATATATGTTGATAACGTTGAATAGTTCTGAATTAGCACATATACATGATATACAAAACATTCTTTGAAGTGTATGCGTTAGTTGTGAAGTTTAAGGTGGATATCACCTGGTATCACCACTATTTAGTGAGTGAGTGAGTGAGTGAGTATGGTTAAACGCCACTTTTAGCAATATTCCAGCAATATCATGGCGGGGGACACCAGAAATGGGTTTCACACATTGTACCCATGTCGGGAATCGAACCCGGGTCTTCGGCGTGACGAGCGAACGCTTTAACCATTAGGCTACCCGACCGTCCCTACCACTATTTAGAGGTGATTCATGGACACATGATCACTATGTGGTCTGAATTCGAACAATCGACACAGATATGTCTTATGAATATGGAAAGGGTTTTGTCGCTTATATTTACACTGCATCCCCATCCCCCTTCACCACCCCCACCCCTTACGATATCAGTTAAACCACGTGGTTTAAGTGAACTGTACCCCTGGGTTAGAATTGACGTCGTTATAGCGCCTCAGTGGCGAATCCGGGCAGAATAGATCCTAGCAACCAATGAACCAGCCAGAAGTGCTCACTATGTGTGTTTGTTTGTTGCTTTACGCCGCATTCAGCAGCATCCAATCAACACACATATGACGGTGGCTTGTAAACAAAAGCGACAAAATCCTTTCCATATTCATAAGAAATAACTGCGGGACTATATCATGAGCATGCGTCCATGAATCACCATCAAATAGACTTGATACCAGGTGTTCGCGAAACTTTGAGCATATCCTGCTCCACAGGTGGCATCCGTCAAAAACACATGCAAAAGCAAGTCAATTGGATACCTAAAAAACAGGGGAACGTGTGGTAAAGTCACAATAGGGAATTGCATTGGACATTTTGTTGTCACTGATATGTTGAAAATGTGGAAAGCTCATCCGCATGTGTACCATAAACGTTTTGAAAGCTTTACTGAGGCTTTGAATGTTATAATGTTGCAATCCGGACTGCAAACCACTAACTGAGCATGAACAATAACTCACACCATCAAGTGTGAGTGAGTGAGTGAGTGAGTTTGGTTTTACGCCGCTTTTAGCAATATTCCAGCAATATCACGGCGGGGGACACCAGAAATGGGCTTCACACATTGTACCCATGTCGGGAATCGAACCCGGGTCTTCGGCGTGACGAGCGAACGCTTTAACCACTAGGCTACCCGACCGCCCCCACACCATCAAGGTACGATGATACCCATTTAGAGCCTGACCAACAAGCCCTTATCGAAGTTGGTTTTGCAAGAAGCATGAGGTACCGGAGACATTCTCTGCCACTACATTCACCGGGGCCAATGCCTTTCATTCAAGCGTTTGGGTAAACATATAAATATTATACATTTTGCACAACATACCGACTGTACAGTTGCTGTGTATCTAGGGCTCTCGAATACGGGCCGATTGTCATTGACGTCAACAATTTGAATGTTGACCGTGCACGTAGCGCTGATAAGCTGTGTGTGGAATAAAAACACGATGTAAGCATATTGTATCTGGTCATAATTCAATTACCAATTTTGTACTAATGCAGCATATAAAAAAAATAATATTATTTCAAAGTTAACTATTGTACTAACGATTAATTGTTCTTATTGAATATTATTTAGACAATAATGAAATAATTGTGTATATAATGCAGCTGAAGTGGAAAGACTTTTAATATATACATTCAGATTTAACTTACTGGTGGCGTTTTGGTGGCGGCAATGACTACCACAGTCTTGCTGGTTAATACCTGAAATATGGAAATCATGATTTTAACTTCAGAAGTACGCTGTCATTTTTCAAATATATATCAGTGACATGATTGACTTGTCATCAAAAGCACACCTTAAATTAAAACAAAGTCGAAACTGGTACATGTATTTAAACGCTTATAGATTTACCCTTACAATTATTCTATTTACATAAAAAGGAAATAATTTAATGTATACGTACTTCTCTATCCAATGTTTGATTGAGTCTTAGCGATATGTAGGTGACATTGTTGTTAATGATGAAGTCATTCGCAAACACCGTGTTTGTGGGGTCTCGAAGGGACATGGCCAGGCCTCCTAGTCTTTGGTCAGCGTCAACCAGTGCCAACTGGACCAGGAAAGAGCCTGGATGGCAATACATTCCCAGTTATAAAATGCGAAGATGCTACCGTTCATACTCAATAATGCAAGTACTCCGGAAGAGACCAAGTGGTCAAGTCGAGAGTGAGTGAGTGCGTGTTCTATGTTACACATATGCTTGAGACTCGAAAAAGGATTATAAAAGAGTCCTTTCTGATGCCTTTCTGTCAAAATTATTCAAATCCGGCACTCCATGCCCGTCGGTAGGTTTCAGGCAGTGAAGCATCACACATCACAGCATCACAGTTAGCCATGAAACTGCATCGCGTTTATACATTAAAGCAATGCTATGTGTTTCAGATTTGAGCACTAAAATGTTACATTTGATTACGCAGCTCTGAAAAGTTTAATACATGTTTTATTTTTTTTTAAATATATAGCTTTAGCACAGCGTCATCATCCCTACCCCTATTACTGTTTTCCGGGACTGACGTGGAGTATACATTCGGCTGGAACCTCAAGGATGAATTGGCAGGTATTGCTGAAAATAGAATGACGTAATAGAGGTGCAAGATCGAAGCACGTTTATACGTATTCTCAAATGATGCTTCTTATTATCCCTTGTTCTAAGTCATGAAGAGGTTGATGAAGAATATATTTACATATCCTGAATTATAATGTTTCAGATTCAAGCATATAGTAGAATTTAAAAAAGAACATACACATCAAGCTGTCAGGTTACACGTGTATAAACGACGTTGATTAAGGGACCAATCAATTGATATTTGTTGGGGGACTTTGACGTTTTTGAAAAAATATGCCCTATTTTCTTTTAAAGAAACGTTTCTTGCCAGGAACAAAACTTGTTTGCTGGACATTATGTGTCCATGTGTGCTGGAAATAAATAATCAAATCTTCCTTTGGCAAATATATATCCTTTCTTTAATAAAAAAATCCCAGATTTTCTACAGTTGCGTACATGTAAGTATGTAAGAGTGGCAACTGTTTTACCTGAGTTGCTCAGTCTGATGCTGATCGTTGCAATTGTAGATAGCGAGGGACTTCCATTATCCTGTACAAAATGTGAAACAATGTTTTATGAAACAAAAACAAACAAGTGATATTTAGATAAATCGTTTTTCCTTTAAAGACTAATATGCACGGAAATTATGAAATTAATATTGAGGAAGCATCTGATTGTATATTTTAAAGAAGGAAGTACTATACTACTGACACTGATTTAAGCAGCGGTGAACATACCTTCGCCTGGATGTAGAGTGACACGGTGTCGGCGGTGATGGTACTGAGCGAGCCATTAACTGACAACACACCCGAGGTCCTGTTCAAACGGAATCGATTTGCGCCTGATGTCCCTCCCTATTGTGTAAAACACAAATAGCAATAGTCACTAGTGATGCTAACTTATGCATTTATGTTGTTGACGTGTATTGTATATAACTTACAATGTCCTTCAGATGACAGGAGTAGAGGAAACATTGTTGACATGTATTGTATAAAACCCATATAAAAACATATTCGATAGATGACAGGCATGTAGTATATTATTTACATGAATGGTATATGGCCGAAAATATTCTACAGATAACTAGCGTATGGTATATTGTTGACGTGTATTGTATAAAACCGACAATATTCTACAGATGACAGGTATATAATATTTTGTTGCTATGTATTGTATATAACCGATAATATTCTACAGATGACAAGCCTATAGTGTATTGTTGATATGTATTGTATATAACCGACAATACTCAAAGTTAACAAGCGTATAGTATATTGTTGACATGTATTGTATAAAACCGACAATATTCTACAGATGACAAGCCTATAGTGTATTGTTGATATGTATTGTATAAAACCGACAATATTCTACAGATGACAAGCCTATAGTGTATTGTTGATATGTATTGTATATAACCGACAATACTCAAAGTTAACAAGCGTATAGTATATTGTTGACATGTATTGTATAAAACCGACAATTTTCTACAGATGACAAGCCTATAGTGTATTGTTGATATGTATTGTATATAACCGACAATACTCAAAGTTAACAAGGTATTGTATAAAACCGACAATTTTCTACAGATGACAAGCCTATATTGTGTATTGTTGACATGTATTGTATAAAAACCGACAATATTCTACAGATGGGAAGCGTATAGTATATTGTTGACATGTATTCAATTTGTATAAAACCGACAATATTCTACAGATGACAAGCATACAGTATATTGTTGACATGTATAGTATAAAACCGACAATATTCTACAGATCACCAACTTCTCTGCTGTTTGCCTATTGCTTAGGGAGCAGATTTAGGCGATATTTAATTACTCACATAAATACTGTAGGATACATTTCCGTTTTGGCCAGCGTCCGCATCAGTAGCATTGACTATCATTAGCGTTGCTCCAACTGGAGTTGCCTGTAACATGGAAATGTATGCTGAGCAAGAAACAGGCCGTGCGAATAGTCAGAACAACGAAACCCGAGTACCACTGTATCACCTACATATGAATGTATTATGATATATTGGGGGCGGTCGGGTAGCCTAGTGGTTAGCTCGTCATGCCGAAGACCCGGGTTCGATTCCCGACATGGGTACAATGTGTGAAGCCCATTTCTGGTGTCCCCCGCCGTGATATTGCTGGAATATTGCTAAAAGCGGCGTAAAACAATACTCACTCACTATTATCTTGTAATTATCTGACAATATTTTATCGTTATTCCTCACGGGTGTAATACAACTAAATCCTGGGTCTACTTTCTGTTTGCCTCGTTTATGATGAACATGGTAAACACGATGAACATGGTGAACATGGGGAGCATGATGAACATGGTGAACACGATGGACATGGTGAACATGGTGAACACGATGAACATGGTGAACACGGGAACATGGTGAACACGATGAACTTGGTGAACCTGATGAACATGGTGAACATGATGAATATGGTGAACATGGTGAACATGATGATCTTGACGGGTTTCTACATTACGTTTCTATCACTGATGAAACTATGCAGCTTTTACCTTATTGACGGCGATGTACACTGGTGAGGTGAAAATGGGGGCCTCGTCATTGACGTCCGTTATGTTGAGAATCAATTTTGTCGAATCCTGAAATCCGATTACGCAAGAGCATATCAACGGCTTTAATATACATGTCTATATTATTCTACTGGCGTCTGGAAACACCGTTCGACCACAACTGGATTATTTAATAACGAAGGTCATTTATACAAAAATGGAAAATCGGTGAATGCATCACATTCATGAATCATAACAATATGAACAAAACATATAAATCCACATATTGTTTTCTTAAGCCACTAGGAACTTTCCACTTTCCTGAAATTTAGCATGCTTCACATTTCGTCGACCAATCAACGATCTTTTTAAACATTATTTCCACATCAAGAGACCACAGGTAGGTGCTTTGAATACGTCCTTGTGGGTTAACATTCTCGGTGGATTAAGGAAAACACCAGTCCTTTAAAACTATAAAACGTAATTATCAGAAATATACTAATATTTTACATGTACCTACCCCATAGTTACCGTCATAGGCGAAGATCGTAAAATTCATTCTGTTTACCTGAAACAGATATATCGGAAATTACGTACAGGAATATAGGGGATATCGTGAATGTACCACTTAACGTTGTTTTAACATTCAAACAGAAATGGCATGGTAGTCGAGTGGATAACGTTTTGGGGTTCGATTCCCAACATGTTGTCTATTGTGCGAACCCCATTTCCTGGTGTTCCCTCGCCATGACATGACTTGAATATTTCTGGTATGTCCTATTTTCTGTTGGCCTTTTACACAACAAAATATAACCATAATATGAGAGGGGCACGAGTGGCCCAATTGTCTTAGGCGCTGTGCAGAGTTGCGTCCCTTGGGCACGCAAGAAATCTATGATTGTCGGTTCGAATCCAGGTTCGTCTCGAATATGTTTCTAGGTTTGTCAGCACCATACCCGCGCTCGCGGGTTTCACCAAAGTGGTTATTATAAAACATCTAAGACCTGCATTACTTCGGACTTTCCTTCCACATTAAGGTGACACGCCGTGCTATAACTGGAAACTGTTAAAATCAACGTTAAACCGAACCCACTCACTTACTCACTGAGCATGTGAAACAAAGTCGAAAGTCAAGCGAACCTACAACATGGGATTTATATTTTGCTTTTTTTGAAAATTAGGCTGGTCTATTATCAAACCGACTGAACCCGATCTCTCCGATAACAGATGCAATGAATTAAGTGGAATACCCTCTCTCTGTCCAGTGAGCGGCCAAGAGACACTGATATGGATGCAGATGACCCGACAATAGTGAGTCTCAGACGTATTGTCCCCGTTCTGTCACTTGAAGACACTGTTACACGTTGTGTGGGTGATAGCAAGTTCAACCGCAGAAGCTGCGTCCCTGGAAGAATACAGGTTACGATTAAGAAACTGACAGACAAGTTCTTATATTTTGCATCTAAAAGGTCAACTGTGAGTATACCACAGTCTGGGGAGGTGAGGTAAAATGGGGTAAAACGATTATTGCATTTATATAGCGACGTGCATGCACGTGTGTGTGTGTCTGCTTGTACTAGTCCGGACTGGTGCCGATTTATAGTCCTAGCCTACTGAGATACCATGCTGCAGTTAAACATGAATACCCCAGACAGACACAGCATACTGACTCCGAGCCGACCAGTCCTTGTTTTAGCCCTCTAATACCGATCGCCAGACAGGGTAACAACAAGTACCATCTTTTAACGCCTTTTGGTATGACACGGCCGGGGATCGAACCCCGGACCTTCCGCTCTCCGGGCGGACGCTCTACCACTAGACCACGGAGGCTGTCACCACAGTCTGGTAAGTACATAGTCGGTTATGATGAATGAGTAGAAATGTGTTTAACTTTTCGGGCAAAAAACGAGTAATGGCGATCTCATTAGGAATAGACTAATGATAGTTTTAAACTGTAGAACATATACTGATGGAAATAAATAAGGGAACACTTAGGTTTTGACACAGTAAAATGATATGCTATCATAGGTTCCCGGCCTTGTCTACTAAATACGCGTGGGAAACAATGCACTCAAACACATCTCAACATTTGATTCTGAAGTGTTGAATTTGTATGCGCGCTATTTCAAATGTATTGACAAAACGTTATTTCCCTATAATTTTCATTGTACCTAATTCGTTTCCGTCAGTATATTAATAAACAGTTTATGATATGGCATGCATCCTGCATGTTATTGCTAACTTGTTACAATCATCATTTGTAGAAATATGCTTCACTGCAAGGTAACACTGAGGAAACATCGTAACGTTAAAGAACCGTGAAGATCCGGGGTAGAATAGGTCTTCAGCAACCCATACCTGCGTAATAGGCGACTATGCTTGTCGTAAGAGGCGACTAACGGGATCGGGTGGTCAGGCTCGCTGACTTGGTTGATGCATGTCATCGATCCCAATTGCGTGGATCAATGCGCATTATGTCAATCACTGAATTGTCTGGTCTAGACTCGATTATTTACAGACCGCCGTCATATAGCTGGAATATTGCTGAGTGCGGCGTTAAACAACAAACAAACCAAACCAAACCTTAAAGTTAAACTTCCCTATGGGTAACTATAAACTTTCTTTCAAACATGCACAGTACCTATTGGTGCTGCCTCGCTGACATTGACTGTTGTGGAACGAACCATAAACCTCGGAGTTCCCTCAGCTGTAAGATAGAAGACATAAACATGGAGGGAAGGTGGGGGACTAGGCAATGCAAACAACAAGAATAAAAATGGCTCTTTGACGAAAAAAATATGGGATACATAAGCTTTCCCTTTGCAAATAATCACAAGAACGTTAAAACATTGATCCAGTTTGCAGTAATGTAATTTTCTATGACTGTTCCATGTGGTTTCCTACGATAGTAATTCTTATTACAGACAGAGTTCATGTATACTACCAGTACATGTTGTGACCAGAGACATCCTCTTATGTCGACGCTCCACATGTGAGTAGTTTATCATCAACTCGTTGTAGGGTTGATTTGTGACATGTAGGCAATTGTTCATGGTACCATCATGTCACGTGTTTTTGTCACGATCATAGTGTCAGCTTGCTGGTGCTTAATTAATATCGACCATGTTTTATTATAAGAATGATTGATGTCTACTTACTGTATTCTCGCTGTGCAGAGTTGCGTCCCTTGGGCACGCCAGAAACCTATGATTGTCGGTTCGAATCCCGGTTCGCCCCAATTATGTTTCTAGGTTTGTCAGCTCCATACCCGTGCTCGTGAGTTTCACCGAAGTGGTAAACGTCTGAAACCTGCATCACTTCGGGCTTTCCTCCCACATTAAGCTGACACACCGCGATATGACTGTAATACTGTTAAAAGCGGCGTTAAACCCAACTCACTCACTCACTCACTCACTCACACTTACTGTATTCACAATTGTCTCCCGAAAATCCAACAAGGCAGTTACACGTGTATCCACCAGAGATTGCTCTGATGCAAGTTCCACCATTGCGGCATGTGCCGCAAGGACTGCTGGTGTTCCCTGTAAAAAACACATTAATCTAAGAAACAGAACAGTGAGGGAATAAATGAGTTTGGTATACCGCCACTTTGAACTACATTTCAGTGTGGATAAAAAACACAAAAATAACGATCAGGGTGATTGTTAGATTCTAATCCACAATCAGCGGATCCAGGCACGGCCATGGGGCGCGAATCTGCACAGAATATTTTGACACTGACCATTGAATGAAGGGTTAGGAAAGGGAGAGGGAAAGGGAAAAGAAAAGGAAAGTCAACGTATATAAATTCAACGTTGCGTCCCCTAAATTTAGGTGTGCTGCACCGTTGAGTGATTTTGAAGTTCGGTATCGACGTTTACTTTACAATTGACTTCAAAATTGTTTTGCGTTTATAGAGGTGTAAACATGAAAAACCGTGTGCACAATATGTAAATGCTCGTGAACGCAAAGTCTGTACACCCTGTTTTACGTTTATACCTCTATAAACGCAAAACGTATTGAAGTTAATGCTTATAAATATATAAAAGAATATTTACAGACTGCTTATTTGATCATTCACACACACGAGCGTGAGTTGGGTTTAACACCGCTTTTAACAGTATTCCAGTTATATCGCGGCGTTTCAGCTTAATGTGGGAGGAAAGCCCGAAGTGATGCAGGTCTCAGACGTTTACCACTTCGGTGAAAGCCACGAGCACGGGTATGGTGCTGACAAACCTAGAGTGAGTGAGTATGGTTTTACACCGCTTTTAGCAATATTCCAGCAATATCACGGCGGGGGACACCAGAAATGGGCTTCACACATTGTACCAATGTCGGGAATCGAACCCGGGTCTTCGGCGTGACGAGCGAACGCTTTAACAACTAGGCTACCCGACCGCCCCGACAAACCTAGAAACATATCAACATTAAGACACAAAAACCTGCAGACAACCATCCGAAACCAGTGTTTGTTTGTCTGTTGTTTAACGCCGCACTAAGCAATATTCCAGCTATATGACGGCTGTCTGTAAATAATCGAGTCTGGACCAGTCAATCCAGTGGTTGATATCATGAACATCGTTACACGCAATTGGGATCAATGACATACATCAACCAAGTCAGCGAGCCTGACAACCCGATCCCGTTAGTCGCCTCTCACGACAAGCATAGTCGCCTTTTACAGCATGCATGGGTTGCTGAAGACCTATTCTTGCCCGGATCTTCACGGGTCCGAAATCAGTGACATAGTTTAGCGCAACAATGACAAATAACACCCATTCTATTTTCATGTAACCAGGAAGGACTAGTCCGTTAGTGGGCGTGCCCAAACACAAACAAACATTGCTTGTTTAGCCAATCGAATGCTACGAAATAGTTAGCAATTTCTTTATACTGACATGGAGAGATATGGTCAACCGACGAGTCACAGTTTGCGATATGTTTACATCAATCAGATAAGAAATTTCACTAAACAAAATATACAAACATGTATCAATATTACAATCTTAACACTGCTTGGACACAATTATTTTAGAAGATATGACATAGTGTTCAACAAATAGTTCCTGTATTTGTTCAATGTTTCAGTTTTGGTGGTCAGGCTCGCTGACTTGGTTGATGGATGTCATCTTATCCCAGTTACGTAGATCGATGCTTTAGGGGTCAATAATTTGATTGTCTGTCCCAGACTCGATTATGTACAGACCGCCGTATTTTGCGTGAATTTCCTGAGAGGGCGATTGAAAAAAAGCCACAAGTCTGAAGCTTAAGTTTAACCTCTTGGCCAACTTTCATGTTATGAATTGCCAAACGCACACGCACACACACACGCACACACACACACACACACACACACACACACACACACACACACACACACACACACACACACACACACACACACACACACACACACACACACACACACACACACACACAACACGCACGCACGCACGCACGCACGCACACACACGTTTATTTCGTTCTAATGTTAATTGACAAAGACATAGGTGCCATAACAGGCAGCGTAAGGTTGCGTGCTCCAAGCAGCAAGACGAAAGGGGTGGGAAGAGGGTTGGGAGAGTTGGCGAATTATTAGAAACCTACAAACTGTTTCAATATATTTTGTTTATACGTGTATCAGTGATACTTACTACTCGCACAGTTATATCCTGTGTATCCAGAGCGGCAGTTGCATCTGTAAGAGTTGTTGACTCCCCTTACACAGGATGCACCATTTAGGCAAGGATTGCTCGAACATCCAAAAGTGGAATTTCCTGGAATGAGAAAATGTACAAATATATGTGACTGACGTGTAGCTTGTAGTGTGAAATATAAGCCTGAGCAATAGAATGATCATTAAAGGAAATCACTCCATAATGAAAATGAGCCTAATGTTAACTTACTGTATGTACAGTTGACTCCTGTGAATCCTGGTCTGCAGGAGCAGGTGTAATTTCTGTTGCCTCTGCTGATACAAGTTGCACCATTCATGCAGGTGTTGTTTCCACAGGCATTGCTTGTGTTCTCTGGAGAAAGAAAATTTATGGTTTTCTGTATTCCATATAGACATGTTTTGGAACAAATGAACGAAAACGAAATTTTCTAAAGATAAATAATCAAAACAGGTATTATTGATATTTGGTTTGCAAACGTTAGAAATGATTAGAAACTGTTTTCGTAAACATGTGCCTCGTATATAGAACTATTAATGTAGCCATTGATAAGAAAGGTAACCTTCAGTTTTAACTTTGAAACTTGGGAAACACTGCTATTTATTGACAAAGAAATGAGTCCCTAGCGGGCAGTGTTAACTTCGTCACCCCTATCAGCAAGGTGAGGTGAGGTGAAATTTGGGTTTAACGTAGCGGCCAAGATTATTGCACTTATATAGCGACGTGCATGCACGTGTGTGTGTGTGTGGCTGCTTGAAATAGTCCGGACTGATGCCGATTTTATAGTGCTAGCCCACTGAGATACCATGCCGCAGTTTAACACGAATACCCCGTCAGACACAGTATAGTGACTCCGAGCCTACCAGTCCTTGTTTTAGCCCCTTAATGTCGATCGCCAGAAAGGGTAACAACAAGTACCATCTTTTAACGTCTTTTGGTATGACGCGGCCGGGGATCGAACCCCGGACCTTCCGTTCTCCGGGCGGACGCTCTACCACGAGACCACGGAGGCGGTCCTCTAGCAACAAGAGGTGGATATAGTTACTTTATATTTCCTTCCATGGCGACTAACTAGAAACCTAGAAACTATTTGTTTATTTGTTCTGCATCTACTTATATCAGTGATACTTACTACTGGCACAGTTATACCCTGTGTATCCAAAGCGACAGTAGCATCTGTAAGAGTTGTTGACTCCCCTTAGACAGGTTGCACCATTCAGGCAAGGATTGCTCAAACATCCAAAAGTGGAATTTCCTGGAATGAGAAAATGTACAATTATATGTGACTGAAGTGTAGCTTGTAGTGTGAAATAAAAGCTCGTGCATGACAATGATCTTTAAAGAAAATCACTCCATAATGAAAATGAGCCTAATGTTAACTTACTGTATGTACAGTTGACTCCTGTGAATCCTGGTCTGCAGGAGCAGGTGTAATTTCTGTTGCCTCTGCTGATACAAGTTGCACCATTCATGCAGGTGCTGTTTCCACAGGCATTGCTTGTGTTCTCTGGAGAAAGAAAGTGTTTTCGATGTAGTTCTATAGAGAAGAAATCTTAGGGATTAAAGCTTAGAACGACACTTCAGCAAGATGGCATTACAACAGGTGTTACTAATTACTAATTTCGAAAGAAATGAATTCATTGATCATGTCCGTTTGATCAAGCAACAGTTTGTGAAAAGAAATATGTTTGTGAGTAAGTTTGTGTAAAACTATCTAGGTTCAATGAAGACTGGGATAAGAAATGAATTCACAACAACATGACACCTATCATTTTAGAAACGTAAATGTGTGCGGGGATGTGTAAACAAAGATTTCTTTGAAATCTTAATCAAAACCTTGTCACATGTTGAAGGAAACATATTCAAACAACCTGCCAGAATGACGATTCACACAAATTAAGCATCCCCTACCCACCCCCACCCATCCACTGTTGCCAGTGACAAGAACAAATGAATGAAAACGATATTTTAACAATAAAAATAATGAAAACAGGTATTATTGATATTTGTTTCTCAACGTTAGAAATGATTAGAAACTGTTTTCGTAAAAATGTTGCTCTTAAACAGACATTAATGTGGGAGGTAAAACATGCAATTGATAGGAAATAAAACCTTGCAGCCTTTACCTCAAATTGTGGATAACATTGATGTCATTTGATGAAGAAATGAGTTCCTCAACTGGCAAGCATTCGTGCTCCTAGCAGCAAGACAGGCTGTATAGTTACTTAATCCGTCCTTCAATGGTGAACTATTAGAAAACCTACAAACTATTAGAATTGATTCTGTAAAAGTGATACTTACTACTGGCACAGTTATACCCCGTGTATCCAAAGCGACAGTAGCATCTGTAAGAGTTGTTGACTCCCCTTAGACAGGATGCACCATTCAGGCAAGGATTGCTCAAACATCCAAAAGTGGAATTTCCTGGAATGAGAAAATGTACAATTATATGTGACTGACGTGTAGCTTGTAGTGTGAAATAAAAGCTCGTGCATGACAATGATCTTTAAAGAAAATCACTCCATAATGAAAATGAGCCTAATGTTAACTTACTGTATGTACAGTTGACTCCTGTGAATCCTGGTCTGCAGGAGCAGGTGTAATTTCTGTTGCCTCTGCTGATACAAGTTGCACCATTCATGCAGGTGCTGTTTCCACAGGCATTGCTTGTGTTCTCTGGAGAAAGAAAGTGTTTTCGATGTAGTTCTATAGAGAAGAAATCTTAGGGATTAAAGCTTAGAACGACACTTCAGCAAGATGGCATTACAACAGGTGTTACTAATTACTAATTTCGAAAGAAATGAATTCATTGATCATGTCCGTTTGATCAAGCAACAGTTTGTGAAAAGAAATATGTTTGTGAGTATGTTTGTGTAAATCTATATAGGTTCAATGAAGACTGGGATAAGAAATGAATTCACAACAACATGACACCTATCATGTTTGAGTGAGTGAGTGAGTGAGTGAGTGAGTGAGTTGGTTTTAACGCCGCTTGTAATAGTATTCTAGTTATTTTGCGGCATTGCAGCTTAATGTAGGAGGAAAGCCCGAAGTGATGCAGGTCTTAGATGTTTACCACTTCGGTGAAACCCATGAGCACAGGTATGGTGCTGACAAACCTAGATACATAATCGAGGCGACCGGGAATTCGAACCCACAATCATAGGTTTCTGGCGTGCCCAAGGGACGCAACTCTGCACAACGAATCTCGGCGCTTTACATGACGGGGCCACTCGTGCCCCAATCATGTTTGAAATGTAAATGTGTGCGGGGATGTGTAAACAAAGGTTTCTATGAAATTTTAATCAAAACCTAGTCACATGTTGGAGGAAACATATTCAAAAAACCTGCCAGAATGACTATTGACACAAATTACGCACCTTCCTACTCTTGCCAGTGACAAGAACAAATGAATGAAAACGATATTTTAACAAGAGAAATAATGAAAACAGGTATCATTGATATTTGTTTTCCCAACGTTAGAAATAATTAGAAACTGTTTTCGTAAAAATGTGGCTCTTACATCGACATGTTAATATGGGAGGTTAAACATGCAATTGATAGGAAATAAAACCTTGCAGCTTTTATCTCGAATTGTGGATAACATTGATGTCATTTGATAAAGAAATGAGTTCCTCAACTGACAAGCTTCGTGCTCCTAGCAGCAAGACAGGCTGTATAGTTACTTAATCCGTCATTCAATGGTGAACTATTAGAAAACCTACAAACTATTAGAATTGATTCTGTAAAAGTGATACTTACTACTGGCACAGTTATACCCCGTGTATCCAAAGCGACAGTAGCATCTGTAAGAGTTGTTGACTCCCCTTAGACAGGTTGCACCATTCAGGCAAGGATTGCTCAAACATCCAAAAGTGGAATTTCCTGGAATGAGAAAATGTACAATTATATGTGACTGACGTGTAGCTTGTAGTGTGAAATAAAAGCTCGTGCATGACAATGATCTTTAAAGAAAATCACTCCATAATGAAAATGAGCCTAATGTTAACTTACTGTATGTACAGTTGACTCCTGTGAATCCTGGTCTGCAGGAGCAGGTGTAATTTCTGTTGCCTCTGCTGATACAAGTTGCACCATTCATGCAGGTGCTGTTTCCACAGGCATTGCTTGTGTTCTCTGGAGAAAGAAAGTGTTTTCGATGTAGTTCTATAGAGAAGAAATCTTAGGGATTAAAGCTTAGAACGACACTTCAGCAAGACGACATTACAACAGGTGTTACTAATTACTAATTTCGAAAGAAATGAATTCATTGATCATGTCCGTTTGATCAAGCAACAGTTTGTGAAAAGAAATATGTTTGTGAGTATGTTTGTGTAAAACTATATAGGTTCAATGAAGACTGGGATAAGAAATGAATTCACAACAACATGACACCTATCATTTTAGAAATGTAAATGTGTGCGGGGATGTGTAAACAAAGATTTCTTTGAAATCTTAATCCAAACCTAGTCACATGTTGAAGGAAACATATTCAAACAACCTGCCAGAATGACTATTGACACAAATTACGCACCCCCTCCCTACCCCCACCCACCCACTCTTGCCAGAGACAAAAACAAATGAATGAAAACGATATTTTAATAAGAGAAATAATGAAAACAGGTATCATTGATATTTGTTTTCCCAACGTTAGAAATAATTAGAAACTGTTTTCGTAAAAATGTGGCTCTTACATCGACATGTTAATATGGGAGGTAAAAAATGCAATTGATAGGAAATAAAACCTTGCAGCCTTTACCTCGAATTGTGGATAACATTGATGTCATTTGATAAAGAAATGAGTTCCTCAACTGGCAAGCTTCGTGCTCCTAGCAGCAAGACAGGCTGTATAGTTACTTAATCCGTCATTCAATTGTGAACTATTACAAAACCTACAAACTATTAGAATTGATTCTGTAAAAGTGATACTTACTACTGGCACAGTTATACCCTGTGTATCCAAAGCGACAGTAGCATCTGTAAGAGTTGTTGACTCCCCTTAGACAGGATGCACCATTCAGGCAAGGATTGCTCAAACATCCAAAAGTGGAATTTCCTGGAATGAGAAAATGTACAATTATATGTGACTGAAGTGTAGCTTGAAGTGTGAGATAAAAGCCTGAGCATTAGAATGATCATTGAAGGAAATCACTCCATAATGAAAATGAGCCTAATGTTAACTTACTGTATGTACAGTTGGCTCCTGTGAATCCTGGTCTGCAGGAGCAGGTGTAATTTCTGTTGCCTCTGCTGATACAAGTTGCACCATTCATGCAGGTGCTGTTTCCACAGGCATTGCTTGTGTTCCCTGGAGAAAGAAAGTGTTTTCGATGTAGTTCTATAGAGAAGAAATCTTTGGAATTAAAGCTTAGAACGACACTTCAGCAAGACGACATTACAACAGGTACCACTAATTACTAATGTCGACAGAAATGAATTCATTGATCATGTCCGTTTGATCAAGCAACAGTTTGTGAAAAGAAATATGTTTCTGGGTATGTTTGTGTAAAAATATATTGGTTCAATGAAGACTTGGTTAAGAAATCAATTTACAGCAACATGACCCCTTTGATGTTTGAAATGTTGTAAATGTGTGCGGATATTTTTGGGTTGATTTTTGAAAATAGCATGTCTCTTAGTAAGATACCCATCAGGAGTTGTGTATTATGTGCTTTTTAAAGAACAAATAAAATGTTCTAAATGAAATTATTTGAACAATAATAAAACTATACAGAGGGATTCTTTCACAGCTGACTAAGTGCCAGCACATCTATGTTTCATATAATGTCGCTAACTTAAGATATTTCCAATTAATAAATGATTATGATGATATCAATTGAGAGGTGTAGACTATATATATTTCTATTAATTTGAAAGATATATTATCCAAGAAAACTGTCATTGCAGAGGAAGTTACTAAATATGACACTTCGCTTGTCAATATGATGCGCGATGCTATCCTACTTTGTGTCCTTTACATGGAGTTTCTGTGCTCCATGTTCCCTCGCACTTGCTTAAGTCATGAAAACTGGGTGAGTGACTTACGCTGCCAGTCGAGCAGGTCATGTTCCCTTTTTGTGAACACCTTGTGTGACAGTGACTTTCAGTCAACCGTTCATATAATTTTCATCATAATACTTTTATTCCCAATGGAATATGTTTCGGCAGATATTCGAAAATAATTATTCACTGGTGTTGACGTTTTTCACTGTGTGTGGAAACTCGAATTGTAATGTTAAAATAGAATAGAAAAATCTTTTTTTGTCACAAGGAAACGAAACGTTTTTTTTAAAAGTCTACCAAAGTAAGGTTCTCATACTTCAGGCATTCATGAAACAAGGCTATTTTGGTAAATATTAAATGGTTTTTTTTAAAACAAAGTGAAGAGATAATACTGTATGACCGATCAAGGTTATTTCACAACAGTTTCCTGGTATATAGAAATTATAATGAATCAAGCAACATTCATGTTCACGCCAAGAACATTTCATTCAGTTGTGTAAGCCGTCATCAAATAACTGTTTCGCAAAACATTTGAAACATTTAAACAAAGGTTTCTTTGGAATCTTAATCAACACATAGTCACATGTTGGAGGAAACATATTCAAACAACCTGCCAGAATGACTATTTACACAAATTACGCACCCTCCCTCATCTTGCCGGTGACACTGCGGTGAAACGGGACAACAAGGTTTAGGTTAGCAGACTTTCTTGCCACAAAGTCTGTGTATTTTCCATTAGATTTATGCACTGCACAATCCCGTTCTATTCCTTCTTCAGAGAAATACTGTTGAGAATACTAATTGGATCGTGTCGCCGTGTTATTCTCGGTGTTGGTCGTGGTTTGGAATAGGTTTAACACGTAAAAGGAATGCAGGAATTAACGACAGCTCGACACACACGTGTCAGAAATGTGTTCGTCTTTCTAAGGCTTGAACGCGTGTTTCAGTTGGAATATATGACAGATTAACAGTTTTTAGTCAGAGTACATATCGTCATTGCCCGTGTTGTTGACATATCAGTCTGTGACATGTCTTTATGTGGAACATAATTTGTTTAAACTAGCCACTATATACCACCTCGAATTTCATTTTAAAATTGAAATATAGATAAATTGCAAAATAGTACAGCGTGTAAGCTTGTTATTCAATTTGTATATGAGTCATATTGTTCACTAGTAACGCTTACGTATTTTGGTTTATGTGAATGTGTGAAAAAAAAACAATTGGCTATCTAAATTAAGCATGCTGATGTATGTATCTGAAGGTTGTTTCAATTCTATTAATAAAAAAATCATGTGTAGATAGTGTAAACTAAAAAATACTATTACCGTTAGATGCACGGACAAGCACTGTGACGTTAGCTGTTGTTGCCATTCCACCTCCATCCTTCAAGAGGCAAATAATGAGATTATAGATTAGGGCATTGTCATCAGCTGATAAGGATAAGTATGATAAAAACATGGCAAATGGGTCACATATTATTAACAATAATTACATAAGATGTTCTGAAAATGTTCTGAAATACCGACAGGAACCACTGGAATATGCTGTCATTTACTCAATCAATACAGTATTTCAATCTGAACACATTTTTGAGAAACTACATCCTTTCTGGAGTGAAAGTTATGCCAACTGTGAACATGGGCTACCCACCACTGCTGTGACAATGAGGGTCACATTTCGGTTTCCTGGTAGTTTTCTCTTCAGGTAAATAGAACCATCTGAGGGATTCATGCTGAAGAATGTCTGCATGGATGAATTCACAGTCTGTGGAGAAACATGCACAAAATGAAACGTTAAAAAAACAAAGCATTGTATTACATACTGACTAGCAATAAATTGATGATTTGTATGTAATCGTAATAAGATTTAATGGACTATTCAGTATAAACAAGTTTCTGAAGGAATAAGGAATACCAAAACCATATAATTATTTGTAAAACAAACCAAGGATGCCGTATCATTTATATGCTTAATCATTATTTAGTACCGCCAGGAAAATCAAATGAATTCTTCAGCCATACTTAGGGCAAATCAAAGTACTCATGATGTTGACTAGGATTTTTTGATGGCAGAAAGGGCCGCCAAAGATAATGACTCGGGCTGCTCCCTCCTTTTGAACTGACACTCTGGGAGTACAAATACTGCAGTGGTGTTTGTTGGGGGAAATACTGTAGTGATGTTTGTGGGGGGAAATACTGTAGTGATGTTTGTGGGGGGAAATACTGTAGTGATGTTTATGGGGGGAAATACTGTAGTGATGTTTGTGGGGGAAATACTGTAGTGATGTTTGTGGGGGGAAATACTGTAGTGATGTTTGTGGGGGGAAATACTGTAGTGATGTTTGTGGGGGAAATACTGGAGTGATGTTTGTTGGGGGAAATACTGTAGTGATGTTTGTGAGGGGAAATACTGTAGTGATGTTTGTGGGGGGAAATACTGTAGTGATCTTTGTGAGGGGATTTACTGTAGTGATGTTTGTGGGGGAAATACTGTAGTGATGTTTGTGGGGGGAAATACTGTAGTGATGTTTGAAGGGGGAAATACTGTAGTGATGTTTGTGAGGGGAAATACTGTAGTGGTGTTTGTGGGGGAAATACTGTAGTGATGTTTGTCAGGGGAAATACTGTAGTGATGTTTGTGGGGGAAATACTGTAGTGATGTTTGTGGGGGAAATACTGTAGTGATGTACGTGGGGGAAATACTGTAGTGGTGTTTGTTGGGGAAATACTGTAGTGATGTTTGTGGGGGAAATACTGCAGTGATGTTTGTGGGGGAAATACTGTAGTGATGTTTGTGAGGGGAAATACTGTAGTGATGTTTGTGGGGGGAAATACTGTAGTGATGTTTGTGGGGGGAAATACTGTATTGATGTTTGTGGGGGAAATACTGTAGTGATGTTTGTGAGGGGAAATACTGTAGTGATGTTTGTGGGGGAAATACTGTAGTGATGTTTGTGGGGGAAATACTGTAGTGATGTTTGTGGGGGAAATACTGTAATGATGTTTGTGGGGGAAATACTGTAGTGATGTTTGTGGGGGAAATACTGTAGTTATGTTTGTTGGGGGAAATACTGTAGTGATGTTTGTGTGTGTGTGTGTATGTGCGTGTGCGCGTGCATGTGTGTGTATGGATACCGTAGTGTTGTTTCTCGTGCTCAGTCAGTGTGTGTGTGTGTGTGTGTGTGTGTGTGTGCATGTGAATACTTTGAATACAATAGTAATGTCTGTGGAAAAACATACTGTAGGGGTATTTGAGGGGGAAATGCTGTCGTGCTGTAGACTTTTTTTATTGTCTCTTTATATTCATGTAGTGCTGTTTGTAGGCGAAATACGTACCCGGAATGAATATGAAACACGACCGTTATTTCCCGAATCCCTGTCGATGGCAAAAACAGATCCAATCCTTAGGCCTGGAAGTGATGACTGAAATACAACATAATCATGTCATATCACAGAAGACAACTTGTTCAGTGATAACATTGTGAGATGACACTACTTTGATCTCATACGTTCTACGATGGAATTTATACCATTCTGGTTTATTAACATATAACAGTCGTTACACAGCAATAATTATGATCAAACCACGACGATAGCCAGTGTTGTTCGCGTGTCATCACTGATGTTCAGTGATCCATTCATAAAGTTTCACCGCTAATTTGCCTTTTACGCCCTACGATATCGGTTTCCGCTGATAATCGAGACTGGGTATTCACTGGGGTTGACGTTTGACATTTATTAAGGATTTTGTCTTCAGGAAGCCTGTAACTCACGTTTCCAATTATAAATGTCGTGTTCCTCCTGACGAACATTGGTGGGTTGTTGTTTGCACTCACAACATTCACGATTACCGTTGCTGTAGACTGTAAACATAAAAAGGTAAACCACATTTTCCATGCACTGTAGCAAGGTGTTAATGCATGACAAAAAGACATGTAAAGGTTTGCTAAAACGCATATGAAGGTAAGATGGTGATTCTATAACGAATATGACAGTAAGATGGTGATTCTATAACGAATATGACAGTAAGACGGTGATTCTATAACGAATATGACAGTAAGATGGTGATTCTATAGCGAATATGACAGTAAGATGGTGATTCTATAACGAATATGACAGTAAGATGGTGATTCTATAGCGAATATGACAGTAAGATGGTGATTCTATAACGAATATGACAGTAAGATGGTGATTCTATAGCGAATATGACAGTAAGATGGTGATTCTATAACGAATATGACAGTAAGATGGTGATTCTATAGCGAATATGACAGTAAGATGGTGATTCTATAACGAATATGACAGTAAGACGGTGATTTTACACACTATTCTTTCTTATTATCAAAAAGCAATACAGACAAATAATACCTATCTTCAAGAAACATCGGAATAATATTCGCAATTGGAATCGTTATTCAATTGAAGAGCGGAACTGACATATTCAATAACTTCATAATGCTTATGGAAAAAAATAAAAATAGTATATTGAATTGAATATACAAGTTATTTCATGATATCAAAGTTCGAATATGTATTAATTTTTGTCATGAATATGGAACATTCAGCCATTACATCAGCAGGCTGCTTGGTATGTTTTGTTCTATAGCCATTCATGTACCATTAGACCGCCTCCGTGGTAGAGCGTCCGCCCGGAGAGCGGAAGGTCCGGGGTTCGATCCCCGGCCGCGTCATACCAAAAGACGTTAAAAGATGGTACTTGTTGTTACCCTGTCTGGCGTTCGGCATTAAGGGGCTAAAACAAGGACCGGTCGGCTCGGAGTCAGTCATGTTAAACTGCGGCATGGTATCTCAGTGGGCTGGCACTATAAAATCGGCATCAGTCCGGACTAGTACAAGCAGACACACACACACAAGTTCATGCACGTCGCTATATAAGTGCAATAATCTTGGACGCGACGTTAAACCCCATTTCACACCACCACCTCATGTATCATTACGCCACAAGCCGACGACTCAAGTCACATCTCTGTACTGTATATGGTGTATATGATATATGTATATGTATATGATATAAACCATCATTATGATCATATTAAACTTAGGTATCATACCGTTGATTGGCCATCCTCTGCAGTTACATACAGAACTTCTCGCGGAGTCTGTAAAACAAAAATAATATGTGAATAATTTACGAAAAAAACCCAACTATTACCGATGCTGTAAGAAACTGTTTACCTAGTACCAATGAATGCAGTTCTTCTGATAAAGAACTATTCATGCAACCATCATGTGATTAAACTGTCAGGAAAATCTTCATGTGAAATAAATAATTATATACAATGATTGCCAATGCATCGTTGTTACAATGTGAGGTATGCTAGTCAAAAATCCTTTTAAAGACATTACGCCACATAGCTTCCCGTATTACCAGACCAGACCCCTCATGAAGATAGAAATGTAACACTATCACGAAGAAATATGTCTACGTGTTATTTACAGTTTTAAACAAGCTTTTAGACTTTAGACTGGACATGTATCACAATCACGTGTGTGAAGCCCATTTCTGATGTCCCCCCTACTCACACACACGTGATATTGCTGGAAGCAATGTTTCGGATTCTTACCCGTTGTCTGTCAAGAGACTGGCGAAGGTAGAGCATAACGAAACGACCAGATGAACTTTGACCTGATGGATTACCCAGTCGGAAGCGTTGCCCGTTTTGTGAGTCACGTAGATTAAAAGTGATCTCCTCTGGCCCATCGTCATCAACAGCTATCAGCTGTCCAATTTCATAACCTTGTAGAAAGTAAAAATGAAACAAACAAGAAATTATTACTCGACGGAGGCATTTTTTTCATACAGGTGTCATAGTTGTGTTTTGGCCTCACGTTTATAATGTTTCTGCGACTGTTTTCAGCCAAGTATCGTTTTGATAACGTTTATAATGTTTTGGTCAAATCCAGTTTTCAAGTGTATACTTTCTTTTGCCTGGCAGTGTATTTCGACTGTATTCAGCCACTGCATTTCACACGTCACAGACGATATCACTTCTTCCTATCAAAATAAATGTGTTTGCATTTACCACGCGTACAACCTGATGTGCTTACCGGCTGGCAGGCCCTCTCTGACTGTGAAGGACGCTCGGCTGGTGAACACTGGGGGGTTGTTGGTACCTGCAACAAAACGAAATTATTTTATATCTTTGCAAATTAATCAATCAATTAATCAGTATGTTCATGCGAAAGCCTTTGGTCCATTTAGAATATCTTGCATACAGTATTACGTTAAATCCTTGGATTTCCCTTTGGTCTATCTTACATTAACAACCGCCTCATTGGTCTAGTGGTAGAGCGTCCGCCCGGAGAGCGGAAGGTCTGGGGTTCGATCCCCGGTCGCGTCATACCAAAAGACGTTAAAAGATGGTACTTGTTGATACCCTGTATGGCGCTCGGCATTAAGGGGCTAAAACAAGGACTGGTCGGCTCGGAGTCAGTATACTGTGTCGGAGTGGGGTATTCATGTTAAACTGCGACATCTCAGTGAGCTAGCACTATAAATCGGCATCAGTCCGGACTAGTACAAGCAGCCACACAAACACACACACGTACATGCACGTCGCTATATAAGTGCAACAATCTTGGACGCGACGTTAAACCCCATTTCACCTCACCTCTTACACTTACAAAAATAGAACTTGCAGAAAAGAGGGGATGGGAACTGAGTAGATGAAAAGTGAGAGATAGAAGGAAACATCAGGGAGAAATAAGCGATACGAAATAACTTGACCGAATGTGAGGAGAAGAAACGAAGAACAATAGGTTAGGAGGGCCCAGCTGGAGGAAGATACAGCTACAATATTAGATGGTTGAAGCATACTGAGGAACACACAGCAGTTATGAGGATATATGGACAAAGCTACCATGAATCTGGAAATAACTCGATTCTGATTGGTCAATCAGAGGTTATCAAATCACAATAAACCCCTCTGATTGAAACAACCGATTTGACCACCGCATCCCCATGGAAGCTAATACTTATAGAATAGTACTTTTGTTTCGTCATTGTCGGGAGTCATACTTTGATAATTACATTTAGATTTATAGGTTACAAAACCGAGCTAAAATTTAACACAGGCTCAGTTCCAAATACAAATAAGGGCGGTTAAATCTACAAGTAACCTAGCCCTAAATTGAAAACAGTATGTTTATCTCCTGATAAACGTTTTCCAAATTGGAATAATAAAGACGTAAAAGTGACAAAAAAACTTTCCATAATCGTGAATCTCTGCTAAAAGAAAAAATGGATGATGGCTGCAGCGAGTCATTGTACGTTACAAAATGAGAATAGATCTTACCTGTCGTATCATCGGGGTTAAAGATGCTTGGTGGTAGTTGACTGTACACTGGAAACAAGGAGAAAAAATATATTGTCGGACGTCTTCATGCTTGTCATCATACACCGATATAGGGAATTAAAACAGTCAGTATGCGTCAATAGATACAAGAATATGAAGAGTGAGTGAGTTGGGTTTAACGCCGCTATTAACAGTATTCCAGTTATATCGAGGTGTGTCAGCTTAATGTGGAAGGAAAGCCCGAAGTGATGCAGGTCTCAGACGTTTACCGCTTCTGTGAAACCAACGAGCACGTGTATGGTACTGACAAACCTAGAAATATAATCGGGTCGAACCGGGATTCGAACCCACAATCATAGGTTTCTGGCGTGCCCAATGGACGCAACTCTGCACAACGAATCGCGGCGCTCAAGTATGTGATGACTTCTACTACATATACAAGTTCCTGTGCACCCACCTGCTTTGAAGAGGAGACAGAACAGACGAAAACGGGTCAGCGATTCGGATACCGGGCTTTGATTTGTATACAGCTGTGAATAAACAACTTGCATAACAATACACAGGGATATGATCAGTATCTTGAAAGTTTATTACCAATAAATATAATCATGGACAATCTACCAATAAAAATACTGTATTAAAATAACAAAAAACAAACAAAATATTTATACAATATAAAACGCTTCAACATAAGAACAAAAAGATACATTTGTGAGTCTTTAGCAATATTCCAGCAATATCACGGTCGGCGACACCAGAAATGGGCTTCACACATTTTACCCATGTGGGGAATCGAACCCGGGCCTTCGGCAAAAGGAGCGAAGACCTTAACCACTAGGCTACCAAGTTAGATACATTAGCATTCTACTAGTTATGCCTCTCTGATTAAGGATAAATAGAAATTGTTACAATGTTTCTTCAAGGTCTCCCAATACGTGATGAACACCAATACTTACATCACAAAGAGTCTCGGTCAGAAGACGAAGATTGGAAACTACTGCCTGAACATCTGGCGGATCTGAGTACAATACAATCATTATAATTACCATAGAAATGTATGTAAAAGATATATAGTCTTATATATTATGTTGGTGATAAGACTCGGTTATAAATATGGCCATTAACCTTAAACCTTCTATAGGTATAACCTCCATAGACCACTAGGGCATCCTTGCACACCGTGGCATTAGAAACATAACTTGTGTACTGTTATCAAAGAAATGGAGGTGAAATGGTAACGATAACATGAATCTAATGGTAAAAGTGATTTCCAAGTTCGCCTTATAGTGAAAAGTTCACTGTTTAAGTGAGAACAACGTACTGGAAAGGAGCCCGGTAGTGTTGAGTCCGGTAAGCATGGGTGACACAGGGTTGATCACCTGTAGCGTGATGGTAGCAGTGGTCTGTGGACAGATGCACGGAATACAGGCTCAGAACAAATAAACATCGTGGATATATCGACAGATCCATAGAAAGCAGTGACTGGGTGACGTTTACACCGCTTTGAACGGTATTTGGGTTATATCATGGCGTGGTAACTTGATATGGGAGGAATGTCCGAGGTTTAGTTTGGTTCTACACACAGACACACAGACACAGACACACACACAGACACAGACACACACACAGACACAGACACACAGACACAGACACACACAGACACACACACAGAGAAATTTTATACAATATTTCTTGTATATCATGAATGTGAGAGCAAGATGGAATATATATTTGCGCTCGTGTGAAACCGTGTAAGTTGAAGAGTACTGACCCTTGATCTTCCATCCGATGCCACGATGTACAGGGATTTCGTCGAAGGTGGCTGAAAGTAGCGTTACAGGTGACGAGTGGGATTCAGACAGCTAGAACTATATATGGTCGAAACCATGGTGATAAGTGTTTAACGTTAAGACTAATGGAACACATAACAGTGTTTCAACTTATACACTTCTTAAGCTTGTATTATACTTAAAATTTACGATAGCTTGATTGGGTAGACTATTATCGGGGGAAAAACAATCACGAGTACTGAAAAAATGACCACAGGTAAAGTAGCATTCCGGTGCACAGTTCCTCCCACAATGTATCAGGAACTGCGGGGCAAAAGGAAGTATACTCTTGAAAACTAGATTTTACCGAAACCTTAAAAAGTTTATCAAAACTATACCAGGCTGTAGGTCACCGAAACAGAAACTTAAGGCCACAAACACAACCATGATACCCGTATCAACTACATATCATCTGTTTCGAATAACCAATTCTTGTTTGTTTCACTCATAGCCACCAGAGAGAGAGAGAGAGAGAGAGAGAGAGAGAGAGGGAGAGAGAGAGAGAGAGAGGGAGGGAGGTATACCTCTGCCTCCAGGCTGGAACTAAGCTGTACACGTATGGACGACCTTGAGCCTGGTACAGAGTTTAGTTGCACCAGCTGGTTGGTGGCGAAGTCGGAGATGAAGAAGTTGACGGGAGACGGGCCATCGACGTCCACGGCGTTCAAGGTAGTAATGTTGGTACCTGGTGTTGTGACGGGGCAGACAGTTTAGTGCAGTCTTGGACATATACTGGTCCTCTTATACACAATATGCCTTATACGCTGTACGTCCTTGCTTGTACATAACACTGCAGCAGCTTAGTTCTGGCAGAAGTGCCAAGACAAATATTCCCAACATTGATACACTGTGTAATCACTGTCCCTGATTTGTTTATTTGTTTGTTGTTTAACGCCACATTCAGCAATTTTCAAACAACGACGACAGTCTGTACCAGACAATCCAATGATTGACATCATGAGCATAAATCTGCGCTATTGAGATACAATGACCTACATCAACCAAATCACCGAGCCTGACCACCAGATTCCGTTAGTCGCCTCTTACGACAAGCATGGTTTGAATACCTATTCTTACCCGGATCGTCACGGGGACAAGCATGGGTTATTGAAGACCAAGTCTAACCCGGATCTTTCGGGGCTTGCTATCCATGAACATAATCCTGCTGTAATATTACTGAAAGGAAGCTCCCACATTCTTGCTGCCCCTCGACGTATTGTTAACGACGAGGAGTGTTCCTAAACGCGAGTATATTTAACACTAAAATACTTGTCATCGAGTTCTTGCCATCCCTTATCATGATTTGTCGTGACGGTTGGTGACATTCCTTTTCATAGACCAGCATGAACGTGAACGATGAATGACAAACGTATATCTACATAAATATACACTCGTAAGATGCCACCCTGTTTAACACTAAACGAATCAGCCACACTAGTGCATACCATTACTCTGTAGTATGTTTGACCAGGGCAATTAGATGTTGTCTCGACAGCTGGGATGTAAATAAGAGAAACTGTCGCTCTGAATAGGTCATTCAATCATCTGAGCTATGTGCGTTTGTTTAAGTGTGGGTGTCTAACCTGGGACGTATGTCCTGATTGTTTAGGTCTTGTGTTAACCCTGACACGAGACATAATAGATTACATCATTTACATAGGTATGTGGGATACACTTTCGGCATTCCGTTATGTAGCTATTTAACCGGCATGCGTGGGCAGACACTTACAAGATAATGATGCATCTTATTGATTATCGAGTATGTCATACAATGAAAAGGAAAATGTGCAATTAACAACCATACAATTCATATTAAATATATTCAAACACGGATTGGTTTGAAATGTAATTAGCCCGAATGAGTGAGTGAGGATGATTTAAGCCAATTCTAGCAATAACTGCGGGGTAAGACCAAAATAAACTTCACACACTGTGCCAATTTTGGGAATCGAACTCAGGTCCTCCGTGTCCTCCGCTTTAAAGTCATTCACAATGAAGGCTACTCTTCCTACCCCAGAATATGGAAAGTAGTAATAGATTTGAATATTGGACGGATGTATGAAATTATATGCATTGATTATGACTGTAATATTTAGAATAAGTTTAACAAGACTGTACATAGTTATTAATGACATTTATAAACAGCATGTCCTCAGTAGAGGAACGTGATAAGTTTATGCATTCAGTATCAAAGGGTGGACTCGTAAGGGTTTGATTACTCTCAGTGAGACTCCGTTGAAGAATAAATACATGCTAAACCATATGTTTGGCAAAAAGGCTGACAAAGATTGGGACTGGGGGTCAAGGCACGTTACATTTTTTGTCACCGTACTCCAACGGCTTGGGGCTGTCCCCGTGCTATCTACAAGTGGTTCATCTGGTCAAGACTCGGATGCTCATTTGCTGCCATGCATGGGCGGACCTGGAGGGGTTTGGGGTGGGGGTGTGGATGGGGGTGGGGTTGGGGTTGGGGTTGGGGTTGGGGTTGGGGGTAGGGGTTGGACACCTCCTTTATAAAAATGCTGGATCCGCCCTTGTCGTGTAATGACTTTCGTGCTTTCAGCATTGATATGTACTATGTATTTACCAACAGGTGCTGTTTTGACCACACGGAGTGTCTGCTGACCGGGAGTGACCCTAGGTGCCTGATTTCCGACCTGTCCTGCAACACAAACATGAGAATCATTAGCAAAGAAATCATCACGCTATAAAACTTCAGAACGATCAAGCAGAGACAAAAAACATAAGGTTTTAACATGAAAAAGAATATATACTGTTTATGTGATGAAGAAAATCTGTTTTCCCAGTAGTTTCTCTAGTTCTGATCTTAACATAGCACTACCAGTATGCCCCATGTAAGTTGTGTTCAAATATTACGCGAACACTTGACATTCGTTAACGCTATAATAATAAGCATATTTAACTCCCTCATCTCAATTGTGTTTTCTCTTTTCACATAATTGCGATTCGTGTGGATAAACGATTAAATGTAGACGTCATATTGTAATACATTCACACAAACGCCTATTTTTGGTAGCAAGACTTTGAAGCAGTCAGTTACGTTCATTTAAACAAGCAGGTACGTTTTAACGATGGCTTTTTCCGTAAGAGTAAACTTCTAATTAATGAACTAACTTCTTGTAAGGCTGGCGTGTTGACGACGTTACGACATCCTTTATTTTGGCCACGTTCGCTTCCAAGCCACTACTCTACACGTGCAGCCGGTGTGAAAGGAACGTATTGCCCACGGGTGACATGCACACACAAACATTAACGTTTTAACCGATGATATTAAAGAAAAAGAATGAAGCACGTTCAGTGGTCTTAGGAATAATTGGTGAAAGTGACTGTTCCTGTTTCTTTACCTGAACTCGTATTGTCTCACCTGACACAACTGAAAAGCAGATCAAAAAGACCGCCGCCCAGGTAAGCGCGTTCCGTCGCATGTCGATACGACCTGTAAATGTTTAAAAAGGCTTGTTGAATGATCACAAATAAAATATATATGACATGATGTAAGTATCGTTCTTTCGATAAATGAAACCAGATTTAATGATATATTGGTTAACATGGTGTTAAACATGGCACTGTGTTATTTGTTCAAAATAAAAACTATTATTGTGTACACAGTCATGGACGTCTATATACGCGTTAACAGACATCCGAAATACATCATGAAGTTACCCAAATATTACAATACAGTTATCAACAATCGCCGATAGGTCATGTGAGTGGGCTGGGTTAAACAGTATTTCACTTATATCAAGTTATGACAGATGAATCTATAACACAACACAAGTCACCACTTTGACATACACAAGTACATAGGATTGTTTCTTTGGTACTGTTAAATGAAACTGGGGATAAGCCTACAACAAATAACATCAATCTTTTCAAAAATAGAACTATTTTGCCAATGTTTACTTCTTTAATACTGAGTATTAAAAGAAATTCTTGTGAAATATAGGTTATGGACCTTCTACCGAAAGGACCATGTAAACAGAATGCTTAAGACTAAAAACAGTTACTTGTTCAAACGGTCATGCTTCACACACGTTTGTTCTATCACACAGCTGTGCTCCAGAGACCGGGGTGTCATTAAACAAGAATAAAGTAATACTGAAAACATGGTAATACTATCCCAGGTTTATGAACAACAGCTAGTTCTATAAATAGATGACAATAGACAGGATCAAAAGGAACACTGATTAATTAAATAGTTACATGGGTGCGTCATTTAAAGCCAACTATACGTGAACAGAAGAAATATTGTTGGGATCGAAAGCATGGTGATACAGCTTGGATGTCAGTCGATCTCAGCATGTGATGCCACGCGATTCCAGAACTAATTTTATTTAGAGACAAAACTGATACTGGAGTAGGTATCAGTTTAAATCTCTTCCTAGATTCTATCCCACCACATGGGAAATGGGTCAGGGTGAGTGGCACTTCCTTGGGTGTGGTGTCATATTACTGACTAAACACAAACCTCACGCACCGCCATAATCTACCCACTTAAATGTCAGCATACATAGATTTGTTATTTACTTAGGAAAACATCTGTAAAAACAGATTTTATGTTTACACATTTTAATTGAGGGGCAACAGAAAGCATACCGAAGTTTTTTTATGAAATTAAAATTTGAAAGAAATGTTGAGTGTGACTTTGTCTATTCAAAAATCCTTTAGTTCTGCCAAAAATGTAAAAACGTTTTCTGTGGCTGGGTAATATTGTGTAAAACTACATTGGATCAATGAAGACTGGGTTAAGAATGAATTAGCAACCACATGACCCCTATCATGGTTGAAATGTAAATTTGTGCCGATAATCCCCCATATTTATTGATTTTTAAAGACAAGATGTACAAGATACCCATAACAATTGAAAGTTTTAAATCAGATTATCTTTAAAAATATAAAACCATGTAGACATATTTTTGGAGTGCTAACTGGGCGCCAGTAGAGGTCATTGTTGGGATAAGATATCCTTAAGTTGAGATATTTAAAATTGAAAATCAAACATTTGAAAGGTTTAAAGTTTCTGAGTAGGTATACAAAACTGATGACGGTACGTCTGTATTTGTAAATGGTATGACTCAAGTTACCCTTTTATGCTTTAAGTAGTTCATATGCGACATTGCATTCTCACGAACTGAATAATCTTGAAATAACGTCTTGAGCTTAGAGATCACAAAACACAAAGAGCACACATCGTACAGGTGTAGTTTCATACTTCCAAGCTTATGTTGAATGTCAACACGGAACGAACAGTCACTAAGGCGTATCAAGGCTTTAATAGGAAGCTTTCCAAGGCAAATGGGGTGTGTATGTACATAGCAACCCCAATAGAATGAAGGGTTTTGTGGTAACTCCCAGTTTTGAAACCCACGTTACTCACTGTATACAGAAGTGTCAGGTATGAATCCAGGTCGCGGTAGAGTCTGCACACAAACACACATGCAGTCATGGGCGTGTCGCTGTGGTAAGACTGCAGAGTGGGCCAAAATATGTTACCCTTGTGTACGCACAGATGTAGAGAAGCCATTGTGCTATTGTCTGGGCTGAAACTGCCTGTGAAGACTCAGGTTTCCTCCGTATGGGCGGAGTACGGCTGTACGGCGTCAGGCAATAATCACTTTTTTATACAAATTCTACGAGTGGCGGGTGCTTCCGGTAGAGCAGGACATGATTACCCTTTTCGCGAACACCTGGTGTCATCACTGACCTTCAGTGATCCATTCATATATATTTAACGCTTTTTTTGTCTTTTACGCCGAATTGAATCTGTTCGCCTGATAACCGAGCCTGATTATTCTCTGGCGTTGACAGTTTATACACATCATGAAAGGACTTATTAGTGCATGGTGAAATGTTACGCCGCCTCCGTGGTCTAGTGGTAGAGCGTCCGCCCGGAGAGCGGAAGGTCCGGGGTTCGATCCCCGGCCGCGTCATACCAAAAGTCGTTAAAAGATGGTACTTGTTACCCTGTCTGGCGCTCGGCATTAAGGGGCTAAAACAAGGACTGGTCGGCTCGGAGTCAGTGTACTGTGTCTGAGTGGGGTATTTATGTTAAACTGCGGCATGGTATCTCAGTGTGCTAGCACTATAAATCGGCATCAGTCCGGACTAGCAAGAAACACACACACACACACACACGTGCATGCACGTCGCTATATAAGTCTTGGATGCGACGTTAAACCCAATTTCCCCACCTCACCTGATCTGTTACCCTAACGGAAACGAAGTGAGTGAAAGAGATTTGGTTAACGATGCTTTAAAGATTATATCAGTTTTGTCATGGCATTGGTGTGTCAAGCTAAACAAATGCAGGTCGTAGGCGTTTAATACGGATCATTATTGGTTGATTCTGGGATTCGAACCAACAGTTTGCACATCCTGGTACTGCTTCAGGGCACAGGTCTGCACAGCGAAATTGAAAAGGATGTAGGGGAACCAGTTTTCAATATTGCTTACGTCTTTTTGGATTACAGTAAACTACGGTTATAACGAACTCAAAGGGACTAGTAATTTTAGTTCGTCATAACCGTAGTTCGTTATAAGCATATATACAGCATAACTACAGCATATAGTCGGGACTAAAAAGTTAGTTCGTTATATCCGTTAGTTCGTTATAAGCGTATTCGTTATAACCGTAGTTTACTGTATAGTCTAATGTTTTGGGAAGTGGGTTTTGTAAACATGCATATCAGAGCATTATCTCATGACATGAAGCTTACCTCATCCATTGTTTTTAGAACCGCTAAAGATTAAACTAACTGCAGGGTCTTTACAAAAAGGACAAAGCAACTTTTTACAACACTATCATGGGTAATATGCATTAGAATACTTTACGGGGCAGATGACTCCGTGATGTAACGTTGAAGGTGCCAAGGCAAGAGTACAAACTCATTATTGGAATTTCCCGTGAGTCGAAAATCCATAGCGCTGAAATTATTCTCAATCCTCTTAAAATGTTTGCCGACTTGAAACAAATTTAGTTAAAAGGACTTTCAATTATGTTCGGTAGTCATTGAAATACGTTTCATTATGCCTGACGCAGATAGTTTTCAACTGCATCTCATTACATTGGCGGAAGTCATATCATCATTCCGTTTTCATGCCACAGAAGACGTGGTGACGTTAGAGCAAAACGTTGACTTAGGCAACGTCTATTTAAGAAACCAGCACACTCGACTATGTATTTAAAAAATGTATTTCAGGGTTAGACCATTAATACCTTGTCAGCGAGATGGATTTAACACCGCGTCACCAATGTGGTAGGAATGTCTATTTTGTCGCAGATCGCGGGCGGATCCTGGCACAACTAAGGGATGTAACTCTAGACCATCTAATTCAACCATTAACATGTAACCAAGTCAACCTGCACCCATCCACGTGCACCATTCAGGGTGAACGTGTACCACATACTTAACGTGTGGGCTGGACCAGCACGGGCAAACCGTGAATAAACTTCCAAGCATAGCAACGGGTTAGTGGCACATATTTATGAGTGCAGCAGAAGCTATGTTCGGAATGCTTTTGAAAAGCTTGTGATACCTTTCGTTAAACATTAAATGACATTATTTTTCCCTACTTCTTTGGTTTTTCTGTTTCCGCTAAATAAGTTGTTATATTAACATTGTTACAAGACTGGCAATAATATAATAATAATGATTATAATAGGTTCATTTTAATAAGGCGTAAACTTATAACACAGGAGCATGCTTGTGCGAATATCATTGACAGTTTCACGTATAGAGGAGCGGCACAGTGTGCCAGTTGTTAAAGATTAGCATGCCAGAATCAGATGGCCGAGGGTTCGAAATCGTGATTGCGTTGCCTATGTCAATCAAGAACAATGTAGGGCATAATTGTATCATAGCCTATGGTATTCGTCTTCAGACATGATGCATGGGGTAGATATATGTATATACAAAACCTAATCACCATACAATAATTAGTCTCGAAGAGTGTGTGCCCAAACAGATTCCATAGGCATAAAAAGCAAAATAGAGATGAGAATTGTATGAATATGTTCACACAAAGGGTAAGCATGTCCTGCTCGACCCCTAGCACCCGCCACTCTCACCATTTTCATTAAGAAATTGAGTGCGAGGTGAGATCGTGAAAACCCGTGTGAAGGTCATAGCATTGGATAATAGCGTACATCATATTGACAAGCAACGCATCATATTTCGTAATTTGCTCTGAATGCTTACTCTGCAATTTCTGGAATAACTTAATCAGGACTTGATTGTAAAACCTTGATTGAAATTCTTACTTGTAAGTAAAAGGAATCTTTCCATGTTAATTGAAGCACCAAAGCAACTAAAAAGTGTATTCGACATAATCTGGAGTTGATTGTATACGGGAGATTCACGATTGAAAAATGGAAATCATCTCTCTTTTCGTAGCTCTTCGTACAAAAGTGCTAATATTTTGAAGGTCTATGCATAGATAAGGTCATTGAAAGGCATTTAAAACTGATTCACATAAGGAAGAGAATATATGGATGTCAACTTCTATATTATAAGGTACACAACGTTTCGGAGTATATGCTTACTCCTTCATCAGGTGGGTGAAGGAGTAAGCATATACTCGGAAACGTTGTGTACATGTACCTTATAATAAAAAAGTTGACATCCATATATTCTCTTCCTTGTATGCATAGATAGATACGACCCGCGAAATGTTTAGGAAATATTTCCAAACATGTGTCATCCACAACACAACGATAATTTAGATATCCTTTCAACTTAATCAAATGGTAAGATCTCACAAGGCTATTAAATTAATCCTCAACACAGGTTGAGAAAAACTATCAGCATATTTTATACTAGTTTGGATCTATTCAGTCGGCTTACCTTTCTCCATGAGTATAGATCCCCAGTGAAGGCCGTCGATTTGGCCTTTTTATAAAGCCTGCGTCCAGTACAAACCTGTTTGATCACATGATATGTGATTGCATATTTCCGGAAAGAGGGGTCCGAGGGTACTGCGGGTTTCAATTCACCAACCGGTGTGCAGAGCTGTAGTGTAAACACAGGGAACGCTAACCAAACGCAAGGGTAAACAAACGATCTACACTAGACATACGTCGGGAACCACACCACACATACACCCGTCCATGTCCGGTATCCCTCTCAACATTTTCGTGATTCATTTCAAATCGTTAGAGTTCGCGGTTACTCGTAATAGTGGATGATGGTAAAGATTTGTATCGCAGTGTCTGTACAAATTTACTTTCTAACATCAAACGTTCCATCTGTGAAGACGAGAGAAGGCATAACGTGTGTTTTTTCAGTGAGTGAGTGAGTGAGTGAGTGAATATGGTTTTACGCCGCTTTTAGCAATATTCCAGCAATATCACGGCGGGGGACACAAGGAATGGGCTTCACACATTGTACCCATGTCGGGAATCGAACCCGGGTTTTCGGCGTGACGAGCGAACGCCTTAACCACTAGGCTACCCGACCGCCCCTGTTTTTTTTCAAAATCGATGTTCTATCTTAACAGATTAAAATTTATACATTTCTTTCACAAATACATGTCGTTTGTGGGGCGGTCGGGTAGCCTAGTGGTTAAAGCGTTCCCCCGTCACCCCGAGGACCCGGGTTCGATTCCAGACATGGGTACAATATTTGAAGCCCATTTCTGGTGTCCCCCGCCGTGATATTGCTGGAATATTGCTAAAAGCGTCGTAAAACAAAACTCCCTCACGTGTAGTTTGTCTCCTGCAGATAAAGATTTTATTCAGAAAATGAAGTTTTAAATAATTATTAGATATTGTTAAACTATTATTATGTTAAATACATTCTTATTACGTATTTAATAAATATATGAATGGTGCTACTACCGATCTTATTAACGGGGCGGGTGGATATTCTAGTGGTGGGTACACATGGGTACAACGTGTACCCACTCTAGTTCAACTGTGGACAGGTAGGTAAGTGGACAGTACTGTTGATTACAAAATTGCTACTAATTTTTATTCCCATGTTTTGTACCATGCATTTTGGCCGTCTGTGATATAACAGGAGCAATATGCAAACTCAATCAGCCTATTATCATTCTCTTAAACGCCCTCCTCCACTGTTCCCTAATAGAGTTCTTGTATTCTTTGCGGTTTTTTTAATTAGTAAGGTTCAATTACGTGTAACGTAACGGTTAAAGTACCTAAAGATTTTAGAATGTATTCAACACGAATCCCGTCTATTGATGGAAAAGCATACCCTAACCACTACGCTTGTACACCCATTTGCTAAATAGTGCGTCAAGTTTTGAATCAACAGTGCAGTGAAGGCAACCTAAACGGGTAGCAGCAATACTTAGCTATCTTGTAAATATGCGATTTAAGTAAATATCCATATTTCACCAAAAGAAAACACGTGTTCCCACAGGGTAACGTAATGGAATTTCGCAATAATCGTGTACGGGTCCCCCGTTTTGAGATAAGTAGGGATTTCCTGGAATGCACGATTTGTCAAAAGAGACAGCTGAGAACGGCTTGACTAGGACACACGATCTGACAATTAAGACGTTTCATATTTAATCGATTTCATGAGCCGGTTGTATGCGGTTTCATGGAGGGGTAGAAGTATGTTTACCTGTATGTGTAATGGTCACGACTTGCCCCGGGTATCCGACTACAGACTACATTCATAATGGGGGACATAATGCCATGGTAATAGCACCTGTCTGTGTATGCTATTTGTATTCTGCAGTAGAGTCGTGCAGGAAATAGTTACTCGCCTGTATGCTGTGTTGAGTGAGTAAGCGAGTGAGTGCGTGTGTGAGCGACAAGCTGAGTTTTCTGTCAATTCTTGTATTATACAGCAACATCGTGACCTGAACATCATCTATTATGATCACAAACTTTACGAAAATTTGGAATGTATCTCGTAGACCCAAACGCTTCAACCTTAACGAGGTGTTGAATGACTTCAGACTCAGGGAAATAAAACCTGCATCCTCCCTGTTGAAACAATGTGTTTATCGATGATATCGCAATCTGTGGCTGGAGGATATTAATCAAACCCATGAATTAGAAAGTTATTTTGAATAATTAAGTTAATTATAAATAAAGTTAAGACAGAAGTTTTTGTTTTAAAGAATGATGGAAAGCTTGCACGTGATACAAACGGGTGTTACAAAGGTGAAAACTAGAAACTCGTCCGTGTTATAAGTATTTAGGTCTATACTTTTCGAGCCGTGTATCCTGGACCATGCTTGTAATACAAGCATGTGTTCAAGCACATTATGTGTTGATGGGTATATATGACATACAATTCATTTTTTCAGTACTCGATGTTATCGCCGATATCGCTTTACGGTTCAGGGATTTGGGGGTACAACGAGGCAAAGAGTTGAGGCAAACGAAAACGATACACGTATATGCCTGCAAGAAATATCTTGGCGTGAAGGTTAATACACCTATGGTCTACAGAAAACATTGTAGATTCCACGATATATATATTCATAGACTAAATGAAATTATTGAATATGCAATCCTATAGATTCCCGAAGAAATGATATTAAAGATGATATTATCAGGGTAACTCCATTTATCAGGGCATTATCATTTACAGAAGCCCGTCTTCCATTAACTGCCCGACGAAGGAGGGCTTCTGCAAAATATAATGTCCTGAAAAATAGCGTTACCGTTATTATAGCTAAAATGGATGGAATTTGCTATAAGATAAAAAGAAACGACAATATCGGTTTGGAAACATTTACTGCAATCAACACGAATGTCACTGACCCACTTTTTCAAATATGGAAATGCCAGCGCCATGTGACGATTCGTCACATCTTTCACAGTCCATTCAAGATATTGCATATGCTTTTCATCCGTTTCATGTTTGACAAGTCTACACATTTTCATAAACAAATGTCAAAGAATGGTTAACTTTCATTGAGAAAGTATGCAAATACGTAAAAATCTACTTGTTTTTGCGTAGTTATCCTATGTTTACATTGGTTGTACGGCTCCACGTGCTGTCATCGAAGCCCAACGGAGAGCTAGCGACACGGTCACTTTGATGCATAAATATATATTGTCATGCAACTCACTGTCGCAGTTGTAGTAGCATATCTATATAGTTATGCAAAACAATATGTGAAGCGCCCCCAAATACTTGCATTAGTCTGTTCTATACTGATTTCTGAAAAAGTGCGTTTGTTTACAAACAAGAGAAATGTCCGGTCACGTGATATGCAAATTAGCCTGTGGCAGTGGTGTTATGCTGAGTCACCATTGCGACGGAGTGTTGGCATTATCAAGTTACAGTGGCCCGCTCATTTCTGACAACATGCGGGCGGTTTAATGATAATTCTATCCATTTGAGCTATAATTTATGACAACTATTGAAAAAGTAATTGGGGAACTGATGTAAAGAACTTGTACACTTTGGATATACTTGTGTGAACAACCCGTAAAATGTCCGACTGAATGTATTAATTTGTTCACACAGAGTTTAAAAGATGATGTATACTTGCAGAAATCTGTGTCTTTTTCAAGAAAATGTCTCCAACAGAAATTCTCTCTGAAATTCAGAAACCATGTATTTACCAGGAACATTACCACATTGCTGTCGAAGCATATGGCAATAAATGGGCCCAAAGAGAAGAACCTGTTGCATGTATTTACGAGTGGATTAAGTTTGTGATGTTGCACAAACTAAGAAAGAGGAAAGCAGAAATAGAACAAAACAAACTCATTCTAACCCAGCCAGGCGTCATTCTATGTCTGGCTGCTCAACATGACAATTTTGTAGTTAATCCCACTGCTAGGCAAACAATAACATAACCATTATTTGTACAGCATCACTACATTAACTGTTTGATCAAAGGACTTGATATAAGTGACATATCAAATAATGCTACATATACAGCCAGTATGTCAACTGAGGAAGGAATGCCAAAACCATGCATCAGTACTATCACCTTTTGTCTTGTCTTTTGTACTGGATTCCAAAGCTAAAAAAAAATCCGAAAGATTTCCAAAGAGAGATTTATTACTGTTTCCAGCAAATGTACCACCAAATCCCTGTCTTAAAAACTAACCATAACCCTTAATGCAACTAAGGAAGGACTTTCCTTTTATTCACAGAAAGTATTTTTGTAAAAAATGTAACCAAATATCATCTGAAGTTTACTGATAAAACAATACGTGGAAGACTGGACTTGATAACATCAATGTAAAATGTTCGGGTAATACATTTAGGATTTGAGTAGGCATCCTCATGGGCGCCAATTGTTCTCCCCCTTCTTGCTGCTTTGTTTTTTTATGCATATGAATCGGAATTTCAGCTCGGATGTGCATTGTCAAAACAAGGTAATTTGGCCAAGAAGTTTAACTCAAGTTTTAGGTATATCGATGATCTGATATCGTTCAATAACTATCAAATAGCCAATTCTCTTCCACTTATTTATTGTGTATTGAAACTGGACGGTATACCTTCATGCAAAGAGAAGATCTATGTAACTTTAATACCATTGAAGACGAGTATCACTTTCTTCTCGTATGCCCAGTTTATTCTATGCTAAAATATTTTTAATGAAAATTATTATGTACACCAAACGTCATTAAGTGTATAGATTGTAAACGAGCTCTAAGAGGTTACTATTACAGTAATTGTCTATGTTTATTTATTATGCAACATGTACAGAAAAATCATATTTCATATCACAACTCTCCTACTCATCAGAAGTTTTTGTATTATGTACTATAGGCTATGATTTGTTTGTTTGTTGTTTAACGTCGCAATATTTCAGCTGTATGACGGCGGTCTGTAAATCCAGCGACTGATATCATGAGCATCGATTCACGCAATTTGGAAACGATGATATGCATCAACCAAGTCAGCGAACCTGACCACCCGATCCCGTTAGTCGCCTCTTACGGCAAGCATGGGTTGCTGAAGACCTATTCTAACCCGGATCCTAACGGATCTTCGCACATGAAG